ATCTTGCCCTTCATTAAAAATTAACCTCAATTTAATCATAATTAATTTTTGGATAAATTTTGGATACCCTAGGATATCTCCCAAATCTTTGTTTTATAGTGTTTAGGAATTTAAGAGAGTTTAGGGGTCCTTGGAGGGATTAAAAATACAAAATTTTCATGAAAATGGGCAAAAATCCGTGTTTGGCGCGCTGTAGCGCGGCTAGCGCGCTGCAGCGGCCAAATTCCAGTGGCCGCCGCGCTGTAGCGCCCAGGTGCGCTACGGCGCGGTCACCAGCAAGCATCGCGCTGTGCCGCGCCTTGGAGCTCGCCGTGGCGCGCCTCGTTGCTACAGTAACCCCGCCTCATTGCTACAGTAAATTTTTTTTTTTTTTTTTAACAAAAACTTCATTTCTTCCAAAACTTCCAAAACACTTCCTACCTTCCCAAATTCCTCGAAATACCCTCTAAATAAATTTAAAACTCAACAAAAGTGGTTTAAGAATTATTCTTCTTCTTTTATTCATTCTTTTTCTTTTCTTGTCCTTTTTCTTTTCTTTTTATTTTCTTGTTCTTTTTCTTGAAGTTGGTTTTGGATGTTACATAATGTGTATTTTTACGGATGCAAACTTGATTTTTCTCCTTATATACAAGAATGTTGTACCACTTACAAATACTTTGGTCACAACTTGTAAATATGACTTCTAAGATTTTTAAAATAGTGAAAAGACAAAAGGTAAGTTTTAATGTATTGTTTAGACAAGAGCAGTTTTTGATAGCACAGAAGATGGAGTTAATTTTTATAGTCCCAACTTAATTAATCTGAGTTTTTTTTTTTAATTTTATAAAAGATTATGTAAAGTGAAAAAATTAATGTGTATAAATGTTATGATTGAAGTGTTGGATTCGTGACCGATGTTAATGTTAGAATGGAATTCAACTTAACAAGCCTAACTAATATATAGTATTTTTGTAATGATCCGAAAATTATTAGTTTTATTAACTTGTTAAGTCTAAATCATTGGTCCAAAATGCTTAAACCCAAATTGTTCAGTAGTATTTTCTAGTTTCTTATATATCATATCATATTATTCTCAGAAATCAATATGAGAATGGGATGTCACAATTTCTCCCAATTAAACACTTGACGTCTTCATCAATTTAGAAATCAATATTTATGTCCAAATAAAATAGGTTTAAAGATAAGTCAAAAATTCGTATTTGTATCCAAATAGAACATGTTCAAATATGATTTTATTCTGATAATATTTAGTCACGACCGAGGTATTGGATTTGTAATTGTCGTTAAGGTTATAATGAAATTTAACCTAACAAGTCTAACCATCATATTGTATTTCTGTAATGACCCGATAACTATTAATTCTAACAACTTGTTTAACTTAAATCACTAGTTCAAAATATTTAAATTTAAATTGTTCAGTAATAGTATTTAATTTCTTATATATCATATTATATTATTCTTAAAAATTAAAAATTAATGTGAGGATGGGATGGCACAAAAAAAATTCACAACATTCAAAAATTTAGCCAAGATTTATGATACATATAGGAAATATAAACTTCCACTTTTTTTTCACTCTCACATTCTTCTCCTACATATTAGTTCCCCGACCCTTTTTTTCAAAAAAAAAAAAGAGTAAATAAAAAACATTGTCCTCACTTTTTTCTTGTTTCACTTAGAGAAAAAATATTTGCTCCAAATAGAGGGTTGAAAAATTTTCTAAAGATAAATATGACCAAAACTATAATTAGCTTACTCTCCCCTTTTATATTTGGAAGGTTAAATTTATTGTGATCTTAGTTTTTAAATATTTTAAACTCAATTATTCTTCAAAATTACTAATTCTAATAACTTATTTGATCTTTACCATCGATTTAAAATACTTAATTTTAAATTATTTAATAATAATATTTAATATTTTATCTATAACATAATTTTATTATTATAAATTCACCAAAAATCATAAATTACAAAACAGCATTTTTGGTGAAGTGGCTAGGAACTCTATTTCATAGCATTACTTGGTTAACTTCCATAATATAGCAAAGAAGGAATTAAAATATATCTTAAGATTAAATGCATATATTATATATTATATTTATTTTATTAAGCTAAATAAACAGCTTCAAACTGTCTTAATTTTTTATATTTATATGCCTTCAATTTTTTTAAGATTAAAAATCAACTTCAAAGTATTCTAGTATCAACCATGTCTCTTCTCTAATTTCAAGCATATATCACAAAATTATTTTCCACTTGTATCTATTAAAATTTACAGTGCTACAGATTATATTTTAATATTTTATTTTCTCCGTATTTAATTTAATATAATGTTCGGGATGCTTTAAATATCTGATCGTGACACAGACCTATACACTTTGCTTAAGTTTACTCTTTTTCAAAGTGCATGGTGAGTCATAAACAATGACAGAGACTAAACATTATAATTATTTTATTTTTACTGGTAAAGTAATAAAATTGAAAGAAGAAGGTGATAAGCGGTGAGGAAAAGCCGAGCCAGATACCATTCCCCCAATAAAAGGGCTTTTGATAAGCGGTGAGAGAAGAGCCCTAAACGCCATTCGACGTCTCACATCGAACTCTCGGGAACCTTTTTTGTTCACCTCTATCATCTGCTTCACGCTCAGCGGTTGTTCCCAAGCCCCATTCCATCCGTTCGATCTACCGCCCGTAAGGCTGATCGGGGCGTAGACGCGCGTGTCATTCACGCGCTCGACGCGTTGTGGTGACGAAAAGTTGGCCCCGCCTTCTTTTGAAGTCGGTAAAGCAGCTACTTTTACTCGACGGCTTTACAAAATCCGCTTTTCCTTTTTCGCTGGCTTTTTCTATTGATGGTTCCGCGGCCAAAACTGTAATATTTAAAGGGCCATAGGGCCAAAAAAGGTAGTAAACCATTTTTTTCTATAAATTTGAGTGTAAAAGTTTCGTGATTAAGTTCACGATAAAGATGACGGCGTCAGGTCACTCGGAGGTCACCTGTGCCTTGCTCAGCTTGTGGAACTCGGTGAAAAGGAAAAAACAAAACGGAAAAAAGATGGATACTCAATGTTATTTTCTCCAAAACACTACCAAACAGCCCCACACTGGTAAAGAGTAGGTGGTAACCAAATCAGAAGCGGCTTCTTTGGTCAACTAGACGTGGGCGTGATACACGCTTATAAAAATGTGTTTTTGGTAAAAGGGCTTGTTGAGAGGGTGGTGATTCTTCTTTGCCTTCCAGAAGCTGACGAGGCTGCTAGAAAATTAACAAACTTGAAAAATAAAATAAGATTGAGGGTTATATTAGGTACTCCAACGCATTCTCAGAATTTATTTATTTAATTATTTTCTAATATTTTTAATTTTTAAATGATAATTTTGCGAGAATATTAAGAGTTTTCTGAGTTTTTTTTTTCATTTTAAAAATGTTTTTTAGGTAAAATTATTGATTTTTCTTAAAAGGATAAACAATTAGGCTGTTTAGTTTCTTAAAAATTTATCACTCTGCAAATATTTTTTTAGCTAGGATTGATTTTTTTATAGCTGTTTTTTATTCCCTCTAACTTATTAAATGAACCCACAAAATATTTAAAAATTTTGATTTATTAGCTAAATTATTAAAATAAAAAAAAATCCCAAATGATTCTCTCAAAATCTGGATCAAAATTCAGAAGCTAAAACGTCTACATCAACGGACGTCCCCATGTCAAATTAGACGTGCTTAACGTGCTAGGGCGGTTTAATAGTACAAAATCTATTAATTTTTAATAAAATTAATTAATTAATTATTTAAATTTTATTATTTTAAGATGCTAATTACTAATTAAATTTTTATTTCGAATTTTGCTGATATAACCTGATCATGAAATTCTATTTTAATAAATATCATTTTGTAAGAATATTTTAATATTAGAACGATATTATTTTATAATCTAAAATTAAGTATTTTTCTCTTCTTTTTTTTTTTCTTTTCCTTTCTTCTTCCTACAGTTGCTCTGGGTAGGGCCTCCACATGCGCACGCACCTCTCTCTCTCTCTATCTGGCCTCCCATCCACCGTTAATCGCCGTCGGTCACTTTGTCGACCTCATGGTTGCCTGTTTCTCTTCCCTCCAAACTCTATCACAAGCAATTTACTTGGTCCCCTGGGCCTCTGACCTCTGGCTTTCAAAGCCCTTGTTTCTCTTCCCTCCAAGTTCAATCTCGATCCCCCTTGCCTCAGACTTTTAGAAATGAACAATTTTATCTTCCGGTTTCTTCATTTTTCTTTGACAGGGAGAAGTTTGCAGGAGATTGAAAGAGTCAGAGTTTGGTAACAATAGGGAAGGAGAGAGAGGTCCAAGGCTGGCAGTGATGTGGGAGGGAAGGAAGGTCGATAAACACGAGATAGACACACAAGGCGTGGAGGGAGAGGAGGCTGGCAAAGAATAGGAATTAATATAATTGTTTGAGGGTAAAAATGTCAAAAAAGTTATATTACAATTTTTATTTATTTACAAAAACTGATATTGATAGTTAGAAGTATCTCTTACCTAACTTCACTAAATAACTTTTATTTTAAATTTTTTCAATCCAAAAAAGTAAAAATTTAAAATAAAAATAATTACTTTTATGTGTCTGGCTGTGCAATAACGCTTTCATAAACTCTTTGTCCGAGTAAGTTATCATTTCATTATTTTGCACTGGCATCAAGGGCGCCAACGTCATTAATTATTAATTTAATTACAATCAGCGTATTAAATGAGTGCTTGGGTTAAAAAATAAAAAAATTATTAATTTCTCCGACTAATTTCCAAACATAGAAAGGATAAATATCTGGAAACCACTAACTTAAAGGAAATAGGTGTGCCGTAAACCGAGAAATTATCTGTAAGTAGATAGCTACAGGAAACTGCCGTATCAACTTGAATTATCACCCACTCGGAATCAACTGGGCTTGACTCAGAGAGTTGAAGGGACAAACCCAGCTCTATCGTCACTCGTCAGCTCGATTTCAAAGCTATGCTCGCCACGACTCTCCGCTCCTGTCAGAGCCAGGTGGAGTCAGGGATCACAACTCGCACCCCTAACCGGATTATAAAATACAATGCGAGTGAAGAAAGCCTCCGGTGAAAACAATTGAGCCAAGGAGAAACTTTGCCAGAAAAACCCACCAACTAGAGAACAAACTTTTCCCTCTTTTATCTCTCTAAAAAGCACTCCCTGTCCGCCTGTCTATCTCTCGCTGTCAGAAGCAAAATATTCGAAAATCTTGTTCCTTGATTCCCACCAAAGTTCACTCGCTCGTGGCTTTTCGTGCTTCTTCTTCATTCATGGTTGTTCAACTGCTGTCGACATAATCTGTATCAGACTACTATCTTTTATTTTTATTATAATCACTCTAGACCTGTGTTTGTCTCCTCTTTACAATTTCGTGTGAGTTATTTACTGGGGAAGGTGTTTTCAGATACCGGTCATCCTTGAATCTGTTCTAATAAGTGTGGGAATGGTTTATTCTGGCTTTTGAGGAGACCCACCATGGATCTGGAGAACGGCGTTCATCATAATCTCGTCAAGGCAAGATGGGTGTCCATTAATTTGGTGCTGTTATGTGTTTTGGAAGAAAGCCATTTGGGATTTCTGATCACTACGTTGTTTTCATTTTGTTTGCAGAAAGAATCTTGGAGGACAGTATTGACCTTGGCTTATCAGAGCCTGGGCGTTGTATATGGAGATTTAAGCACATCCCCTTTGTACGTATACAAGAGCACCTTTGCTGAAGATATTGAACACTCAGAGACCAATGAAGAGATTTATGGGGTTTTCTCTTTTGTGTTTTGGACGCTCACTTTGGTCCCTCTCATCAAATACGTTTTTATTGTGCTCAAAGCGGATGATAATGGCGAAGGGGGAACGTTTGCTCTCTATTCTCTCCTGTGTCGACACGCCCGAGTGAACTCATTGCCCAATTGCCAGATAGCAGATGAAGAATTATCAACTTACAAGAAGGATATTGCAACTTTCGCTTCTTCTTCTTTTGGCTCAAGGTAGAAGATGAAGAATTATGTAACTAGGAATTGATTTTGTATCAGTTCCCTGTTAATGTCATTAATTACGTTGTTTATGTAGTATAATTATATTTTTATATGGAAACATACAAAAAAATTAATGTCTTAGCATTTGCTTCAACTTATTTTGTGTCAAAGGTTGAAGTCTACACTGGAAAGGCACAGAGTGTTGCAGAATTGCTTGCTTGTATTGGCTTTGATTGGGACTTGTATGGTGATCGGCGATGGCGTCCTCACACCGGCAATTTCCGGTAGATTACCTGTTTGTATATTTTTTTTAAATTTGTTTATAGGTGTTTTTTAATTGTTGTTTAACGTATGTTGACTGTTGTTGATTGTTATGTCTCAATGCTTTGTGCAGTTTTTTCTGCTGTTTCTGGAGTGGAGCTTGCTATGTCACAAGAGCATCACAAATGTAAGATTCTCAATTTTTGTCCTCTGATAGATAAATATTTGTCATCGCTTTTGAAATCCTTCGGGATCTGATTTTGTTCAGCCTTTTCAATTGTTTGTTTGAATAGCCACCAATTCAAGGCAAACAATTTTTCAAGCTCCTCTTATTCAGACTTAGACGAATTGTATCTTTCTGTTACGTTTTTGTTTAATATCAGGTTTCTTTTCTGCAGGAAATTCAATAGTCTACTCTTACCTCACCCATTTCTTTTACACTTGAAGAAATTACATGTAAAACCTCTTTGACTCAATCTTCAATCTGGTTTCAAACCCATACTGTAACTGGATTAACCGTTGAGAATTCACATTTTTGGTCGTCTCCTAAAGAACACTGTGCTAGATTAGTGAAGATCTAATGGGACTGTCAGAAGAAACAAATTGAGAGCTGTCATTTGTCTGTTTAAATATATTTATATACTCTTGTGTGGCTTACTGCAAATTTAGCAGTTATTTCTTTGACTTTTTTTTTTTTTTTTTTAGTGGTGTACCTGAGTGCATAATGATGGTACACTGGCCAAAAGCAAGAAAACTAGCCTGCATAAGAAATGGTGCTCAATTGGTTGGAAGTTAGAATTTTGGATTATATAAGCAGTGTTTACCAATTTGTATGAAATAGACATGATAAATTCTCAACCTTAGACCATAGATGATCTTTCAGTTGATTAAAACAATTCATGCATCTGAAGTCACAATGTCATGAATATGGGCATTGACTTCTAAAGCCTTTCATGTCATTAGGTCAGCAGGGAAATTTTAATGGTGGTTGCAGTTTGTTAAACAAGTTTTCTTCATATGTCTAATTGGACATTTGGTTAGTTATGGGAAAATGTTGAGAATTCTTTGCACTTGTTTGCTTTCTAAAAGTGAAGACACAGATGGAATTAGAGTCTTCAGAAAAGATGAAGCATTGCCTTGTTCCCCAATTTTATGTTTGCTCCAAACACTAAAGAATTCTGTTGGGCACACCTTGTGTGTCAAGTCATTTATCCCAGGGTGAGTTTTAAGTTGGCGACTGGCATCATAATGGTACCTGAAGTGTCAAAATAGGTTCAAAATTTTCAGTCTCCCATGTAGGCTAGATATTTTAGGAAGCTGCAGGGATTCTAAAAACACTACGGTTCATGACTCTCGGTTCTATCCTATTAACTATACAATTGTTTTCTGATTTGAAAATTTTGCAATTAAAAGGCCAACTTTGTTGTGATTGATCTGACAAAACTATGTGCTAACAGAAGTTGTGATCACTGATCTAGAAATTGCTACACCAGTATGCATTTAACCAAAATCATGGTAAGTTTGTTTGTTTGTGTTTATTTTCATTCTGTAAATTTGTGGGGAAGATTGAAACTTTAATTCAATTATTTTCAGCTTTGTTTTTTAAACATTTTCTCATATGCTGGAGTTATGCTTCATTACTGTGCCTGTAGATGATTGTCAGTGCAGAAGTTGGATCACTGCCAAATTTTTATGGTTCAACTTAGTTAAAATCATTCTAAAACATGACAAAATGTCTACTTATATGTAATTTGGAAGAATGCTAATGGCAACTGTAATGACCATCGTTGAAACAACTCTATGGGAGGATTCCTATCCAATGTTGTTTTTACTCATCTTGTGCCTCATGTACTTGAACTGGAGTGTGGCTGATATGTCTAACTAAACATGCATTTATAATGAACGTCTCACAGTGGAATTCTCCTGACACTTCTACATAAAACTGATTGATGTTGTTCTATGATTTTATTGCTTACTTTGATGGGTCCATGGAATTTCAAAGATAAAAACAGAATCCTAAGAAATATGAGTTCTGCATATTTATCTGCATCCAATGCTTTGACGATGAGAATTAGATCACTTCAAAATATCTCCTCATGCATGCATGGACAGGCATATGTAACACTTAATCTGTGACAAGGGATTGTGAGTGAGTCTTATGGTTGGATCTTTTCACCTCCCCCTAATTCCAATACATCTGATATCTGTGTCCTGCATTATCAGTTCTATGGGCAGGGATGTTAACTAGAGTGAATAATTTACAATAGGGTTATTGATTCTTAAAAGTTAGTCAGTTAATCATTCAGTTTCCGAACAGCTGTTTGACTCTGATGTCTTCAATAATTTAATTTCTTTTGGATTTAGAGGCTATCACTTGCTATTTTTGTTTTATACATACTAAAATTTTAAATTGCATGCATAGTTGGTTACCAACTCAGCAACTCCTAAAATCCTGATCACTCTGCAGATGTAGAAGTTCCAGTTGCATGTATCATACTCATTGGCTTATTTGCCCTTCAGCATTATGGCACCCACAGGGTTGGATTCTTGTTTGCACCTGTGGTCATTATGTGGCTGTTGTGTATCAGTGCTATTGGTGTATACAACATATTTTGCTGGAACCCTCACGTGTATAAAGCAATGTCTCCATATTATATGTACAAATTTTTGAAGAAAACACAAAGAAGTGGTTGGATGTCCTTGGGTGGAATCCTTTTATGTATCACAGGTGAACAGTAATTTATATTGACTGACTATATAAGCAAATATATCGTTTCTGCATCCCTTTGATTCCAGCATATATTCTGATGTTCCAGGTTCTGAAGCGATGTTTGCAGATCTAGGACACTTTTCACAGTTGTCAATACAGGTATATTTTCTTCAATATCACATCTATCTGGTCTTAGTTTTTAAACTGTATTACATCTTGGCTTGATAGATGCTTTATTGTACTTACCATTAAGCTACTTTCTGCTGTTAAGCTGTCAACTTTCCTTTCTCCAATTACCTTGATACTTTTTATGTACTCTACTTCCCCACTTCATTGATTCATCCACATTCCATGGATAGATAACATTGTTTTTGTGGTGCTGTTCCCATGGTGACTATTAGTTTTTGGCTGCTTCCCTTATTTTATCTACTAGTGACAAGTGTTTACTATGAATTTCCATACATTCATAAAATATGCAACTTTTTAGTAGAAGGGTTTGGTAAATGTTGAATCATTTCTATATATTCTGTCTGACAAACTGGTGCAGTTCCCAGAGGACCTTACTATTTCTTTCTCTATGGTTTTTGTCTCATCAGATCTAGACATTCCTGCAGGCCTTTTTAAACAAATAAAACTTGGGTGGCTAGCCAATTGTACCTTTGCTAGGATTTCCTAACTGATTATGACTCAACGTAGGAACCTTTTTGTGTTAGAGGTCTGCGTATGATTATATATTCAAATAAAATTTCTCTTCCCCCTTTGATAATTTGGACTTCTCCGTTTTTCTTTTAAGTCAATGGGGAAACAACCCTTTCTCATAGCCCTTGTGCAATTTGTTGGCTCTTCATGTCATTGTTTTTCTGAGTTGTGAACCTTCCTAGTGTAAGAGTAGCAAGGGAGCATATCATACCATGGCTGGGTTGTTCTTCGCAGTTCATTTGATGTCTAAGTGAATTAAAAATTGTGGTGAAATGTAGCAGTGGAAGTGGATGTCTCCATACCTAGCATTATATTACTGAGTTTGTTTCATTGTGTTCTTAGTTTCCTCCATTATTGTTCTGAGTGGGGATAATTCTTTGACTTCTCTAAGAAGCTAACCATGGAAGGATTCTATGCATTTTACAAACCTTGCTGAAAAAAATCCCTCTCGTTTTCTATGATCCCAAATTTTTGAGCATGTCAACAGTATATTCTGAATCTTTTCCATGGTGCTTAATTAATTGCAGTTGTTTATCTGTTAATATTTTCCATATAAAAAAGGTGATTAGAGGCACTTGACTTGGAACAAAGGATAAAACTCTCAGCCAAGAGAAAATTCGCAGAGTCATCAATCATAATCCAGTACTGATTTGTTCAATACATCAACAAGTACAGGTAATCAAAGCAAAGGTAGTCAGAATATAAAAAAGGCTGTTTTATTCCATATACTGTCAAGGAGTGCACGAAATTGGATAGCACTATCTTCCATCACTGATGAAAAGGCCTTTTACATTCAGCAATCGGTTGTTTATTATGTGAAAAACCTATGATATGCTCTTAGTTGTGGCCCTTTGGTTTCTTGAATGATTTCAATTGTCAGTATTTGTAAACTGACAAGTTTTATAAATAATTTCTATTTTATTATTATCACCATATTGATTCTCTAATGGACAGTTGTGTTTCTGCAGATTGCTTTCACATGTGTGGTTTATCCTTCTTTGATTCTCGCATATATGGGACAAGCTGCTTATCTATCCAAGCACCATGACATCCAAAATGCATATAGAGTTGGATTTTATGTTTCTGTACCTGGTAGGTACCTTCTTTTGCTTCTTTTGGAAGTAGAAGTGTATAAATTACTGCTAATTTCAAATTAACATGGATATCTGAAACCAATGTGTCAGATAAATTAAGATGGCCAGTGCTAGTAATTGCCATACTTGCCGCTGTAGTGGGAAGCCAGGCTATCATTACTGGAACTTTCTCGATCATCAAGCAGTGCTCTGCTCTTGGATGCTTCCCAAGAGTCAAAATTGTCCATACATCCTCCAAAGTACATGGTCAGATTTACATTCCAGAGATCAATTGGCTTCTGATGCTGTTATGCTTGGCAGTTACTATTGGCTTCAGAGATACCTGGCGCTTGGGTAATGCATCAGGTATGGCAATAATTGAAGCTTTCGAGGAAGAACCTACAAGATGGAACTTGATTCTAATTCGATCAATAATTTTTTCTTGATTCAGTTTCCCTGCCCATTTGAATGATGCATGAGGTGGAACTAATTATATTATTCTTGGTCTTCTTATATTAATTTTTATTCTTTTGGGTCTTTCCGTCTTCTGTTTTCCAGGGGAGAAAATACATCATAAAAGAAATTTACTCCATTGTCCTGAAGCATGCTCTTAAGAACAATAGCAATTTATGTGGTTTATTTATAATTAGTCTAGAAGCCAAAAACTAGCACTAGTTAGTCGTATTACTTTGCTATTAATTTTACTCTGCAAGATGCTCTTGCTCCTTGAATTTAGATGACATGCAGGGGGAAAGAAAATTGTATTTGTGAACGAGAGTTTTTTGGTGAAGTATGCTTATTTGTATGTAACACATAGGAGATATATAACAATAAATCAATAACTTTTGTACGTTGGGGTACGGAATATTTTTTGGTTGGATGGAATTTGGCAGAAATAGAGAAATGAACCATCCTTGTTACTTTTGAGAAAGAGAGAACGCATTGGTTATCGTCTAACCAGAAAACATAAAAAGTGATGCCAAACTAAACATAGACAAATCTACTGCTTTCTGATAGATGTACAAAAGCCTTACTGGTATAAGATTTGATATGTTTAAACTTTTACTGTGTCTCCCTCCCTCTGTCTACACATCTACAATTGCAAGGGGAAGGATGCTTGTTGGAAAATTCCATCCATAGTTTAAAGTTGCCAAAAACTTGGTGAGATAGTGTTGCGTACTTTCAATGGTTACGAATGGATTTTGGAAGCTCCCTTGGACAGCAGACTCTCCCTCATATAAGGAGAGGTCCTCCAGAATAACTGGAAAAAATCAAGAAAATCTTAGTAGTAGTAAATAGAAACATGCTACAAGGTTGCTGTCATATTTCTTTATCTAGTTCATCAAATCATTATATCATATTACATGGCTACTGATTAATATTTTTTGCCATTGTGGATCAGGTTTGGCAGTTATAACTGTTATGCTGGTCACCACCTGCCTGATGTCTCTGGTCATTGTTTTGTGCTGGCACCAGAGCGTATTCCTTGCAATTGCCTTTGTTGTCTTTTTTGGAACTATTGAGGCTCTCTACTTCTCTGCTTCACTCATCAAGTTTCTTGAAGGAGCGTGGGTCCCAATTGCGCTTGCGTTTGTATTCATGATTGTCATGTATATCTGGCACTATGGCACATTGAAGAAATATGAGTTTGATGTCCAAAATAAGGTCTCTGTTGACTGGCTCCTCAGCTTGGGTCCCAGTCTAGGCATTGTTAGGGTTCACGGCATTGGTCTCATACACACTGAGCTTGTTGCCGGAATCCCATCTATTTTCTCCCACTTTGTCACAAACCTCCCTGCATTTCACAAAGTATTGGTCTTTCTTTGCATCAAGTCTGTTCCCTCCCCCATGTGAAACACGAGGAACGGTTCCTAGTGGGCCATATTGGGCCGAGAGAATATAGGATTTATAGGTGTATTGTCCGATACGGATACCGTGATGTCCAGAAGGATGACCTAGAGTTTGAGAAAGATCTAGTGTGTAGTATAGCAGAGTTTATAAGGACAGGAAAAGCGGGAACTAACAGCTTTGACGAAGACTCTGGTAAGGAATTTGAGAAAATGGCGGTTGTTGGAACACCTTCAACCCGGTTGGAAGGGATTCAAGTGCGAGAGGATGAGGTGGACAAGCCAGAGTCGTCAATCGCATCGGAGCTCAAGGAGATTCGTTCTCCAGTGGTACAAAGAAAAAGGGTAAGGTTTGTAATACCTGAGAGCCCGAAGATGGACCGGGGTGCCCAGAAGGAGTTGGAGGAGTTGATGGAGGCTAGGGAGGCTGGGGTGGCTTATATATTGGGGCATTCTTATGTGAGAGCAAAGCAGGGTTCAAGCCTGCTAAAGAAGCTTGTGATTAATTATGGGTATGATTTTCTGAGAAGGAACTCTACAGCTCCCACCTGTGCCCTAAGTGTACCTCATGCATCTACTCTAGAAGTTGGAATGGCTTCCTATGTATGATTTTGAATATACGGGATTAGACTTAATAGTGCATATGTAAATGTTTTACCTCAATAGATCAAATTGTTCAAATGAAAACAAAATGCCATCACTTTGTTTCTATGAGAAATGAGTGAGCCACCAATGGGGCTATTCTATACTTCATCAAAACCATGAATCAGCCCGATCACTATTTACTTAGATTATCAATACTCTATTTCGTTATGTTTTGAGAACACAAGGGAAGGAACAGCACATAGAGTCGATCCTCTTGCAAATTTCTGACTCGACGGGCTTTATGAACAACCTTTTCTGCTATGATATATAATTATTAACTGTATTATTTGGCAGCCAATAATGTCTTCAGAAGATCTCTTAGGACAATTTATAGAAGGTTCTTTGGGAGTTTCATCCTGTCTTTCGGATAAACGCCGGCACAGGATGTCAATGAGGATTGATAATCTCCATAGTCGTGGAATCCTGTTTCAGTTGGATAAGGTTGGAAGTTTTACATGGGATGGAGACAAGAATGGAGGTAATTTTTTCAAACCCGAGCGAGTTTACTTCCATGGGTGCACACACGTCTACACCCGTTTTATTCCTTACATTCAATGTTTATGTTCCTTTTTGTCCCCCCTAAATGTTTATGAATCTAATATTTTTTACGGAAACAATGTATTTTCAGTTCAGAATTGAAATTTAAATTGTATTGGATGGTAAAGTTCAAATTTGCATATGGACATGTGCGCTTGAAAATTATGTTTCCTGGATTGTGATAGAAATTTAATAATATTATTGCTCTTTTGTATGATTTGTACTTAAGGGGTGAAGAAATTATAAGTCTTTTATAATTATTAAAAAAATAAAATATGCTTAAATATATGAAAATAAATTAGCATATTTTTACAATCTTATAATATTTTAAATTTTTTGGTATTTATATCTTCTCTAACTAGATGGGGATAGATACTGGCTTGACGAAGGTAGATAAAATAAACAAAGGGGACGGAGAATTTCCCTGCCCTCTAAACTTCATTTCCATTCTTACACTAGGGCATATTTAACACATGCAAATTCGACGGGTTGGTGAGAGTAAAGTCCCTATGGGTAGGCTAACAATCAAGGTCACTCATGACTAGTTAGCTAGAAGTAGATTGTCTTCTACCAAATACTCTTTTACCTCTTTCTAGGCTGATTCATGTGGCAACAACTTGGCCAAAACTCACCCACCTACTGGGTTTTGGCCAAGAAGGCAGGTTGACCACCAAACTGTCCAAACCCATGTGAGTACTTCACATCAGAACTTCAAATGCTAATGTAAACCATGAAAATATATTTGAACACTTCTTTTTTTCTTTGTACATTGGAAGTTTAAATCAAAGTCAGGAGAGGAGAAATGGTTAAAATTCGGACCTATGATCTTAAAATGAATGTTTAAGTGTTAAACTGCTTTAACCAAATTTTACTTTCCTTTGAACTCTTAATTTTTTTTGAAAGCAAAAAGTTCAAGATTTTCAAAAATTTCGTAAATTTTGTTGAAAGATGCCCATTTTTTTAAAATTTTAATAGCACGGGCCACATTTTAAAAGCTTCAAAATAACATGAAAGGTGGTGGGGCTTGTCATCTCAATGTAGAGAACTCATGTGAGGTGGTGGGGTTGATGTCGGTGGGGTTGATGTCGATGGGATTCTGTAGGCAATTGCCCTGCTTGCTGGGCTCTATTAGTGATATTTCCCTTTTCCATAATCATCCTCTTCGTTTGCTCCTCAAAGTTGACTCTAGCAAGTGACTTTTCTGGGTTCCTCGTTGCGATGCTGTTAACTCCCATGGTGGCACCCAAAGTTATTCAAATTCATATCATTGAGAGCTTTGTTGTGTTTAATATTGGGTGTCATGATAGTGGAAAAGTTTCTTAATACATTTTTTTTTTATAAATAAAAATAGAAAAAAATAAAATAAAAAGATACCTAACCTTGTGTTATAGAGATGTTCAAGATATTTCTTTACTAAAATAACACTCAACATCAAATATATTTTAAGAGTAAAAATAAGGTAAATTATTAATATATAATACAGGTCATCTCATTATTTAAAAATTTTAATGTAGAATTATGAAAAATCTTTTACTTTATAATTTTTTAAAATCTAAATATGTCTAAGAATTTAATATTAAAATGTTAAAATTCTTAATATGCCAAACATCTTTAAAATCTAAAAAATTCAAGTCGAGAATTTATTAAACTACGGGTACCAAACACTCGCTTCACATAATAAGCCCATGTTATGGATGAATACCTTTTCTGAATCACGATGACTCTACGAAGACTTTTGTACTCCTTGTAAATATGGTACGACTGGGGACAAGGGCTCTTAGGTCGGTTGTAGGACATGACAACAACCCTTGTTAGCTTAACATATGATTAGTATAATTTCCTGCTCCCGCCTCAATTGTTTCCCACAAATCCTTACAAACTAGGACTTGGGGAAAGGTCCTCAGTAATTTGAAAATTCTTAATCAAGTTCTTAGAGTATCAATTTGTTCAATCAAGCTCTCACACTTGTAAGATCAATGCTAGGTCATCCCAAACTCAACCGAGGTCTAAATTGAATAAAATGAAAAAGGGAAAATGTCATGTCATCGTGCGCGCGATCATAGCAAGGCAATTTGATTTCATGCTTAATTCTACCTTTGGTGAACACGACTACACACACCCAAAGAAGCAGACAGCAAGCGAAATATGTTAAAATTTATCATATCTTTTATAGTAGAATAAATAATACTTAATAATATGTAAAATGATAAAATATATTTTTTGAAATCATTTGTTATTAACTAATTGTATAGGACAAATGAATATAAAAGTACAATTCAATAATGCACGAGTATGATATTTTAAATTAACTCTACTCCTTACAACTGTCATCTCGATAGAAAAGTAAACAGTCTGAAATGATACTGAGTATAATGGGGATCATGCCCTATTTATATAAGAATGATTTAAATTCTATCAATTACAAAATCTTAAGAAATCTAGAGTTCAACACACTTACTAATTAGGCACAGGCCTAGATCAAGGTGATTTTCAACCTATTAGATCACTTACTTAAATAAATAGGTTTTAGAAATATCCAATTGTCCATCCAACTAGATTTTTATAAATTACAAAAAAAATCAATTAATGGTAGCTCAAAATATTAAGAAATTCTGACAAAACAATTCTAGAATTTTGAAGACTCGGCTTGTAATGTAAGCTTAGCTTAACTAAGTAGCCTACATAGTGGTTTCCTTCTTACCTCCATCTGCTATTATTGATTTAAAGACGTTACTCTCACAAAAATAGGGATAGGATTTGAGCCACATTTTTGCTTCTATCAACATGCTTATTGTTACTTTGGAATTCACCTTCATATGGACTCCTCTGCAAATCCAGGTTCTAAGTTAGGTTTAGGCCTTCCCACACTCTCCAAGTTTCTAGTATATATTAGCAAATGAATATATAAAACTATATATTTACACATGTATATGTGCACATATATATCAAAGCAAGACAGTAAATGAAAACATAAAAATGCAATAAATTTAACTTGACTAATTATGAGGTTTAAGTCCAAGAGCCTTTGCACTTGACCTCTACCAAAGATGTCTAATCCATTACAATGGTTACCCACAAACTAACTATAACTAGGTACTTCTTCTTCCTTCAAATCTCTTTATTCCTAAATTAAATTTTCTTCTAGTTAAGAGAAATCAATATAACAAATAGTGGAAACTGAAAAAAAGTTATCATTTCTCAATCTCATAATATCATCATTCACCGTCCGCCGGCTGAGCCCTCCCAATCACATTACATCACTATACCTAAGGCACTCCTTGTATACTACGGCCCACCTTCCGTCGACTGAGTCCCTATGTATCCCAGGCACATTATGACAGTGTGCAACATGTCCGCAGCCCTTGTCACCCCACATCAGACCTAGGCCCTCACATTAGACGTTACGGCATGGCCGTCCTCCAACTGAGCCACCTGATACCTCTAAATCACATCACACGATACCATCATCACATATGAATAAAAAACAAATATACATATGCATATATAAGCCATAACTCAAAAACCAGAATCATCATATCAATATAACTCACTACCAGTTTATAAATTACATAAACACATATCTCAAATATAACATGTATCAAAATACAGTTTAAAAACATATAATCATATTATGTCAAAAAACCATAGTAGAACAAAACATACATAGGAGTGGTATCATCATTCACAGTACGAAAGCTGAGTCAAAGAAGAAGTCCCAATCCCCTCATCCGACACACTAGTCTAGGTGCACTTCCTCAAGCGTATCTCAATTGATCAGCACCAAGGCTTGTAGATTTGAACCCAGTGAGCCTCCCTATAGCTTTTAATCGGCTTGAATTACTCAAAATAACTCAAAAATCTCGGAAACAATCTCCAGTTCTTCAATAAACAGCCTTACGGCCTAAGAACTCCTCAATCCCCCTTAACCTCACTCTATTTCTTGAAATTTTGAGAGGGCTTTGGTTTGTCCCTCTAAAACGCACGCAAATGTGTGAAAAGTCCACCGAAATCATTACACATCGTAGCGTAACGGCAAAAATCATCATTCGTGTACTATTCATGTCAGATTTTTTGTCAAATTTCGATTTAGTCCCTCAATCTTTGGTTCCTTTTGAATTGGTCCCCAAACAATTTTCAAGTCAGCCCACTACATTTTAATTTTTCTCATTTTCGTCCCTAAACTTAAAACTTTACACATCGAGTCATTACAATACATTAGTTTTTGAATACATTTTTTAAATATATAGGTTTTAAGTATATTTTTAATATATAATATATTATATCAAGTACAAGGTGAGTTTGATATATCATTCTTGTCTTTGTCCCTATCCTCGTACAAAAAAAAAAAAAAAATTTCTTGTAAAAATCTCCAAATTTGTTCTTATATCCATTTTCATTATTCATACTGCACTTTAAATGAGTAAAATTGCGAGCACTTACTGTGTATAAATAAAATTGGCATCCCTAGTTGAGATTGGGAGCCCATGGCATTTGATTACAAAATGGAAAAATCAGGCGTAAATTAAGAGTTTCCAAATTGTTGAAAGACTACTTTTCTAGGTTACCTGCTTAGACTTATAATACAAATGTTTAAGGTTGACTCGTGCATTATTAATAATTAATGTAGAAAAAGTAAAACTAAAGCTAGATGTTCTCTAATGAGTGCCATAAATTAACCAAGAAAGTGTTTTGATACTCGTAGTTTTAACTTCACACTTGTAACTATGATACAAAATTTTATGGGATGAAAAATTAATTGCAATTGAAGTAAGTAGAATATAATTATTTACACACAACACCTCCACTAAAAAAAAATTATGGATCCGCCGACAGGAGGGGTCCAAGACAAATGAAACAGGTCATCATCCTCAGGACCTCAGCTATAAAAGTTTCATTTTCAATGTCATCCACGACCAAACAAAAGAAAATGCATGGAATGGAAGCTGTTACATCAGAGACTGGTGCTCATCACCCACAATAAATACCTCTTAAAAAATTTGAATTAAATTAAATTAAATTAAAGAATTGAGGTACAGATTTCAAAGGCCAAGCTCTGGCCCCACACTTCCCTCTGTCCGTTTGTTGTTTGGTGGTGCACAAACGTCATGTTACGCGTAGGCAAGATGATGGGATAAGGGGCTTTGGCCGCGGCTGCTGAGCTCATCCATGGCCACTTCTGCGTCTGCTTCTCTCCTCAATCCTTCTCCTTGTATAAAATTCAAATATATAATCAAATGCACGTAAGGATTAAATCACATTGTGTAAATAGTAAAAGACAAATTAACTAGAGAGATAAGACCTACGTCACTGCCATAAGTAAATCAATTACTTATTAAAATTGGTCGTCGAATTATGCCTATTGTTGAATTATCTGGCAGGTACCATGTCATTTTCTCTGACTTTTCAAATATTCTAACAGATAAAAATATTCGATCTAAAAGTAGAGACTTTTTGTCACTTATATATATAAAATCAGATATATTACCGATAATAAGATTATCGAATTCAGTTTACTCTGTGATTATCTAATATCTCACCATAAAATACGTATATCTCATATTACACGAACCAAATAATCAGATTAATAAGTATGAGTTTAAATCATATACTTTAATTCATTTTTTATAAAAATATATTAAATAATTAACTTTAAATCATTAAAATTTTTTAAAATACACTCAATTTTTTTTACACTTTTCTAAAAAAAGAAAAACAAACCCAAAGAATTAAACTGTTTAAGAATTCTTTTAAAAAAGGAACCAAACATATCTCAAAAACAAAGTCAAAAACACTTTAAAAATAACCAAACAGTCATTAATTTATACATAGCTCCAGTGAAAAATGAGATCCAATGAATTATTTCAATTTACTTCCTCCTTCTAATCAGAACCATTTGAGCCTTATGTACTATGGTGGCTACTGGCTAGGCCCAACGTGGATCCAGCCTGGCCTACGAAGCAAAGTTGATAACTTTGTTTTTCACAAATTTCTTGTATCCAATCATTGACAACTTGTATTTTTAGGAAGGATTTCTCGTGGTAATGAATTAATAAAATACAAGAAATTGAAGTCCCTAATCTTTAATAGTTTTCAATTTTTTCTCTAAGAAATTTAGAATTTAGCCCCTTAAAGGTGTCCCAAATTGGAATAAGATTCTTTCTATTACAAAAAGATGAATATAAACACAAGGGATGTCATTGATATAAAAAAATTTTTGTGGAGTAATTACGAGGAGGAGGGTTTAAGAAAATATAAATGTAAAAACATTTACCAAAATTTTGTCCGTACAGATTTTGGAACTTGAAAGGAGACAAAAATAAAAAATTAATATTTATTTGTGAGCATGAATTGCCTTTGGTGGAAGCTGGGGTTGATTAGAAAATAATTATTTCTTTCGATCCAAATTCGTAAAGTCCCCAGAAAAAGTGAACTTCCTTTGGAATTTTGCGTAAATGCTTTATTGGACTAGATCTCGTGGCTACCAGCATGGGGGGAATGAAGAGCCACGCGACATACGCCAGTCTGGACCATTCACGGTCTCCTAATTAGATATCTTATGGAAGCAATTAATATGCCAATTATTACCCCAAAATTTTTATTTTGTCATTTTTCTTCATTTTTTTAAAATTTAAAAATCTTAAATAAAAAAATAAAAATAAATAAAATATAAGATAATTAATTGAACTTTCTTCTTAGGTGAGTACTGATTAGGAGTTCACTTAATTCAGGCTCATTTACCCCAAAAAAATATGATCAAATTAATAAAAAAAAATTTATACATGGAAATTTACCCCAAAAAGTATGATCAATTTAATAAAAAAAAATTTATACATGGAAATATTTATACATGGTTCCTAGTTTTTGGTCCATTTGATGTTAGGTGTTGTTCTAGTAGGGTAGTATCTAGCAGACCAATAAGAATCAATCATAAGTGCATATCAAAAAAAATTAATCTTTATTTTATATTTAATCACACAAAAAAAATTTTGTAAATATAATATCAAATATTAAATGTGTGCTGACCAAAAATATTAATTTTTATATTTTTTATTTTAAAAAATACAAAAAATAAAATAAATGTATTTTAATTGTTTATAAAATATATATTTTATAAATAATTAAAATACATTTATTTTATTTTTTATATTTTTTAAAATAAAAAATATATTTTATAAACAATTAAAATATATTTATTTTATTTTTTATAATTTTAAAAATATAAAATATAAAAATTAATATTTTTAATATACACATATAACTGATTCTTATACTAGTTACTACCTCACTCAAACAGCATCTAACATCTAATATACCCTACTCCTTTCACCTCTCTTACTTTACTCTGTCTTTTTATCTTTTTCGATCTTCCCTTTCACTGTTCGATTCTCATTCGTGTCCCATTAATAATTTTTCGCTTTCCCTATTGAAAAACCAAAACCCCATTAAACCACACTCCTGGCCTCCTGCTCTTTCACTCCAAAGCCCCCCACCGCGGATATTTTCCTCGCATGAATTAGGGTTTCACGGAATGCAGATTTGCTTCTGAGCTTTATTCTCGCACTTTCTCGAGAAAATGGCAGCTGCTGGAAAGAATGTGTTGGTGTTGGCTCTAGCTCTCGTGCTCTTGTTTGGATGTGTCTCACTAGTTCAAGCTGCTTCTCCTGCAAGTGAGTACTGAACCTTGCTTGTATTATGTCTTCTAGAAGTTTTTTCACTTTGATCTGTTGCGAGTTTTGAGCTTCAATCTTTCTCTGATATGTATGTATCTGTGTATGTACAATGCAAATGTACTCATTCCCTGCAGGGATTGTTAATGGTTTCCTGTCAAATGTCTTGTCTGTACTGATGAAGTGGATGTGGTCATTCAAAGCTAACACCAAAACAGGTACAGATCTCTGATGATACTCTGAAGAAACCGACATTAGATTTCTTGTTTGGGTATTTTCTTTCTTTTTGTTTTAAAAAATTGTGATTCTTATGAAGAATTATTGGGTTCATGTGGCTTTCATGTTCAGCCATTACTGGCCGTCCGATGATGAAGTTTGAGAGTGGGTATACTGTTGAGACGGTGTTTGATGGAAGTAAGCTTGGGATTGAGCCCTACTCTGTGGAAGTGTTGCCTAGTGGGGAGCTTCTTGTTCTGGACTCCGTTAACAGTAATCTCTATAAGATCTCCTCCCCTCTGTCTCAATGTAAGTGGCTTAATGTTGGAAATTTTTCTTTATTTTCATTCCTCTGTTTTATGTCTACTAGTTTCACATGCTATACTTGCTGGTTTGTTTGTTGAAATTCTAGCTCCAGATTCTAAAAGTGACTTGATCGCTTGGGGTTCTACATGTTTTTAGGCTTCATTATGCATGAGTATGCTTAGGATGTGTTAGATGTGCTTTTGGTGAAACTTGATTGAATCTATGACTTTGTATAATGCATTGAACCTTTGGAATGATTCTTTGCGTCATTACTTTTTGGCTTTTGTTCTTCTTTCACTTTCTTTCTTTCTTTTTTTCTTTTAATTCTTTTTGGAGTCAGTTACTGAATTGTATTTCTGTTAAGCTTTACAGTCCACATTAACTCTGTTGCTTGGAACCAATTTACTAGGTTTTCATGATTTACTGAAATTGACGAGGAATGTGAATATGTATTATAATGAATGGCGCCTTTTTGGCTTAAGTTTATCCTGTACAAAAGTCCTCATTTTTCAATTTCATTTCCATTTCGTTTTTATGGTCTGCTTGGATTTTGTACTAGATTTCTTTTTATCACATTATGATTTTGACTAAAAGGTGATGGAATGCTGCAGACAGCCGGCCAAAGTTGGTTGCTGGGTCTGCAGAAGGATACTCTGGACATATAGATGGAAGCCTAGAGAGGCAAGAATGAACCATCCAAAGGGGCTTACAGTGGATGACAGAGGAAATATTTATATTGCTGATACTACCAATATGGCAATCAGGAAAATAAGTGATGCAGGTAGATGATAATGCAACTTGTGTTTCCTCCATTCATGTCTGTAGGTTAGAGGTTCCCTCTCCCCCTTCCAACCACTGTTATATGATTGCAACTAGATAATTGTGGTCTCCTGGCTTTTAGGCTTATTTATTTATCTTTTAAGTACCAAAGATCTAGAAGGCAGCATATTACAACTTCCTGCTTATGGCCTTCTGGCATGGAAGCCCAAGAGTTACAATATCTTAATTTCTTGACTTTTTGGTGTTAAAAGCCAGATGCGTAAAACCCAAAAATCTATGCAAACAAACAATGATTTGACTCTATTTTGTGAAACACTGTGAAGAGTAACACCACAAAGAGTGGACTATAGAAGCTCAAGTGGACCAACTGGCCTGTTTGTCTTGTGCAGGAGTTACAACCATTGCAGGAGGCAAATGGGGTCGTGGAGGGGGGCATGTGGATGGTCCGAGTGAAGATGCAAAGTTCTCAAATGACTTTGATGTGGTTTACATTGGGAGTAGTTGCTCCCTTCTTGTCATAGACAGAGGAAACAAGGCAATCCGGGAGATTCAACTGAACTTTGATGACTGTGCTTACCAGTATGGAAGCGGTTTCCCTCTAGGTAAAATTATTGCCAGACTTTATGTTTTTAGTTCCTTCAGTATTCTAGTTTTACAAGCTGCTGAACCTCACTGCAGGAGTTGTAGTGCTTCTAGCAGCTGGCTTCTTCGGTTACATGCTGGCTTTGTTGCAACGTAGGGTTGGTGCCATGGTGTCTCCCCCTGTTGTAAGTAATGAATCCTGGTTATTATTATGGCTTTACTTCTATTAACACCTTACCTAGCTACCCATTTTGCATTTGCTGTGTTCTGATTCTTTGGGCCCACGGAAAAGTTCCCCTGACTGAATCACATTCATAAAGAAAGAAAAGCTTTTTTAGACTAGGGTAGAAACAATTGTTTCCATCTGGAACTTAACCGTTTCTCTGACATGTAACTGTTGAGGTATACCTTCCATAAGTTTGATTGCAGAAGCATCTTTAGTCTTTGCCACAAGGCTAATACAGAATGACTCTTCTGCTGCCCCAGGCACTGCATTTTTTTATGAGCTGTAAATAGATGAGATAAAGTATTTTTTCATTTTTATGCAATATAAGAAAATTTTGCTCTCTGTTGGTTTTGAAGGATGAGATTCACGAGAGAATGCTGAAACCAAATATTCCTCCAAGCCCATATCAGAAGATAATGAAACCTTCAGTGAGGCCACCACTAATTCCTACTGAAGAAGAACAGGAAAAGCAAGAAGAAAGTTTCTTTGGCTCCCTTGGAAAGCTGCTTGCCACCACCGGTGCATCTTTTTCTGAAATAGTGGAGGAATAGTCCCAGGTTTCAAAAAGAAGCCACCGAGCCATCAATATCAACAACACCAGAAGTATTCAAATTCTTGGCCTGTGCAAGACAGTTATGTCATGAACTTCTAGAACCCGTCTCCTACTCCACGCAAATTCATTTAATGCCCGCTCACAACATACATCCTGAGAGCAAAACCTTTATCAGAACTCCACCTACAAAAAATCATCTCCATGTCACGATGGAGAAAATGGCAACACCTGCAGTGCAATAGGATGAAGCAAGATCAGCAACATCACATTCGTCAGCGGATATTGATATAGCAGCATGAGAAAGCAGGAGATTTTCAGCAACATGCACAAAAACAGCAAACATCATCATCGGTATTTTTCATTCTCCTGCCCAAACATTCTATGAGCAAAGCTTTGAGAGCACAAATGAGGTGGTGTTTGGAGCGGTTCAGGAGCAGAATGGGCGGCAAGAAAGCGTGGTAATAAAGCCTTTGGATCATGGGAGTTCCATTCATGAATCGCGTAATATTCACTCCCGAGTCAATTCTATGGGTTATACTTATGGCTATTAATCATATAGAAAAAAACAATTTTCTGGGATTTTAATATGATTTCGTCCATATAGCAGTTTTCGTGTCATGGCAGTAAGGAAATTATGATTCTGGAGATTGTTAGTAGTGTCTTTGGCAGCAGCTTTGGTCCAGTGTAAGTTTTACTTGGTTGCCGGAGCATTGTAGTCTCTTCAGAAAATTTCCAGTGCAATGGAAGTGCATTCAGAATTGATGGGCTGTTCCTTCGGGTGCTTGTTGAAAACTGAACAGATCTGGTCTCCTTTTCTGGTCTCCTGTCAGTTAAGCTGTGAATTAAGGGGCGAAGTTTTCCAAAATCGCTAAAAGTTTAAAACTTTAACCATCTAAGATTTCAAGAAATTTAAATTTGTGTAGACACTTGGTAGGATTCTGTTCACCTTGGAGTGAGCACTGCGAAGGTTTGATGTTCGAGCAAGAAAACTAATTTTTGTTTATTGATCGAAATCTCGAAAGGTCAGTACCAAAAATGGCCTGCTAAGCGGGTTTTTGTTTGTGAAAACAAGATCATATTTCAAGAAAATCCATACAAAATTAAATGTTACAAAATATAAATTTCTAGGAAGGCGTGGAAGTAGACTCTTCCGGTTTTGTCCAAAACTGTCAAGGACTTGTCATAAACAAACAAGCAAAGTAGAATTGGAGACGATCCCAATCCGTCAAACAGGACATGAAAAATAGAAGAGACAGGATTCCATTATTGAAACTGACAAATTGTCTGCTCCTCAGCAGGAGCATTCAAAAATTTAAATATACGGGGGACTTACCGTTGCTAACTCGTGATCTGGTGCTAGGCTGGGATGGATGGATTGTCACTGTTGTGGACCAACCAATTGATAAAATCCCAGTTGGGACACATTCATTTGGACCAAATTCTCATGGGGCACTCAATAAACTCAGTACAAGCACGCTCGTGACCTCGTTGGAATCTTTTCCCACCTTAATAAATTATTGAGCAAACAGATTTCTGTTCAGATCCTCAATAACAAACTACTAATATTCAAATTCTGATGCATCACGCACCCTCTGCCTCGTAAAAATTATATTTAACTTGAATCCTGCCAACTGTAAACTACAAAAGATGGGCATATATATAATCCTCCTTGACATGTTGGCATGCCTTGCATATTTATAAAACATAGAAATTTGAGATTTCAATCCATCTGGATCTCTAGTTTATGATGGTGGTGCGTGCAACAAATAGGAAGCTTTTATCTTATGGGTTGCATGGTTCTAGGTCGCTGGAGAGAGAGAGAGAGAGAGAGAGGAACCAAGCATTTCATTAAAAAATGACAAAGGAAATTCCAAGTATATTAAAATTTTAGAAGTAAGGTGATAACTTGGCTCTTTGTCCCGACATCATCCCCATTTCATCTCGGTTGTCACATAGTTGGCTCTCTAGGTATTTTTTATATAATATTTCCATTCTTAAATGGATGACAAAATTGACATTATCCACCGCCCATACAGTCAATTGCTTTTGCAAATTTATTTTAGCTCCCATATTAGCAAAGTCTTGTCGAATTAAATGCAAGAGTGATTGTAAAATCCATGCTCAAATTAGAAAAATTAGCACTTTGTACCCTAAAACCTTTCGACTCTTTACCTTACTAAGATGTAAAGTGCCAATTTTTCTAATTTTAGAAATATATTTTACAAATCACTCTTAAATACATATCATACAGTATAAATGGGACTTTTCATAATGGTCTTCAGTTGTCCTGTCCACTTCCTTTCACAATCTTTCGTGATGTCAATTTGGCGGGTTACCCCTGACGAGGCACAGAATTGCTGGTGTCCTCTGATTAGGTTGCTGATGTTTTTGCCATCCTTTAATCTTGTTAACATTTTCAAGTTCTTATTTGACCAAAACTTATTTGACACAATTTTCTTTATTCCTATTAGAAATCAATTGTCAAAATTTTCGTAAAATGTGAAATATTTTAAGAACAAGTATGAATTTGACATGAATTAAAGCATAATAAACACACCAAATAAACAAGAATTGTCACACCCCTAATTTCAAGCAATACCAGTGCTCGAACAGAACACCCGATTCTCAAAATGGTGGCATGACTAAATTGCAGAGAAAACCAGAGCTCCAACCAAAAGACAAGAAAACACAGTAAAACAGAACATCCACTCTTTGTTTCTCTTTTTTTTTTTTTTTTTGCCACCTCTTAAGCAATCTACACTAACTCAGAACACAATAAAGTCAATACAGCTATCTTAAAACCCTAATATCTTACTTAGAACACAGAAAAAATCAATATTTACATAATTGCAGAGCTATAGTCCAACTGCATCTCAAGGCCAACCAAACCCATCCTAATAACACACAATATTTAGTAGAGGCATTTCATTACAAAGCACCCTCAAGAGTTTCTCATCCCCTCTTAACTAAACCTGAACTGCTAGTTACCGACACATTCTGAGCAAAACCCATAACATTGGCCTGTATCATAGTATCTATTTTTTGATGGCCTTCACACAAAATGTAGTGTTTATCGTCCTCTCCTTCAGAGATTGTATGAGACGGGCCCTGTGGAACTTCCTCTCCTCCACACACACAAATCAAATCCTTCAACTGTTCGGCATACATTTCATGCTGGGGCTTTATGGGCTTTATCATCTTTTTGCTACCTAAAACATCAGAATCTAACAGAGATACAGGTTTCTCATGCATTTGGGGTTCTATAGTCTGGATTCTAAACATTAGAGATAGTTGAGATAAGCTTAATGTAATTATCTGCCTCAGAAGTCTATATGCTGTAGAGCTAACAACTCCGCTTCTGACGTCTGAGCAAAGCATCAGTATTGGTCTCATCTGATATGTTGGGTAAAGCCTCCATGTCTTGTTGAAGAGAAGGTGAGCAAGAGAACCTTCCTGTCTACAAAGTTCAGTTAGGAAAGATGTAAGTAATCCAGTTCTTTCACTGGTCGCCCAATTACAAATTTGGTTCAGTGGGGTCAATAGCTAACAATTTTTGTTCACAAGAAGTGAACTATAAAATATAGCCACTAGTAAGCATAACGCCATAAGGTATACAAATGTTAAGGATGATAAATACTTCACCTGTAATGATAACTGCCCTTCTTTTATGGGTTTATCTTTATAAAAATTGAACATATGACCACTTTTAGTAGACAAACACATTTTATTAGCACAACTTTCATAATCTAAAAAAAAACAGAAAGAAAAAATTAAAAACAAGAAGTACCAGTTTAAAAAAAATACTTCATTCTTCTCCAGATAAGGAGATTTTTTTTTTTTTTTTTAATTTGTCTTATTGGGATCCAGGGAAGGGGACAAGGGAAGTCAAACCAGAGTCTTGAACAGGACTATCTTGAGGTTTGCAGTTTAGGCAGGTAACTAACCATTTCTTCGGAAGTCACTTCTTTCAATTTCTTAAATATTTAAATTATTGCATAACATTTAGAATGGATCTTCTCATGTTTGAAAATTCCAATGGGGTCCCACTAAGACGTGTCTCTGCCCATGTGTACTATGAAATAGCAAAACGAATAAAAGTGCACTTACACGTGCAGTTATATAGGGACGCACAGCAAACCCAATTATGAAGCTGAGAACACAAGAAACTGCCAGACTCAAGGCCCAGGCCCAGGTCCAATCAGGTGCACCTAACCCTGAGAGGAGAAAGAAATAATTACGAAAGAGTAAATAACTATGACCAAAAGCAAGAATCAAAGAACCAAAAAAACAAAATGAGATTCACCTAGGAAATATAAGCTGAACCATACTTGAATCATACTTAAATATTCAACCTTCAAACTTCCAAGTCCCAAGCCCTAAACAAGAGGCCTTATGCATCACTTTAATATGTTATTTCCAGAAAGAGCATTTTAATTATTAAAGAACCTGCCCATAAGCAGCTTCCAATAAGATATAGTGGCCCCAATAATTTTTAACTAATGTTGAAATCAGATCTCCAAATCCATACAACTGTTGTTTAAAAAAATAATTAATTTAAGTGATAAGATTTTATTAACATTATATTAAGAGAAAATGAAAAAGTAACTTTTTCATTGAAATTCACAAGGCAGCTTCTCTTTTTCATCTTCTTTTAGTTGAAAGAGAAATATGTATTTAACCAAAATGATATCACTTGGAACATCTAATAGATAGCCGGTCACTTGCATTGATAGGATAAGATATGATAGGATAATTTTATCCTGCTCAAACAATAATTTTACCCATTCAAGAAGAGAAAGGGCAATATTATCTTAAAATTTTTTTATCATTCTGGATAAATTTTATCATACCTATCAAGCCGTGATAATTTTATCTTGATTCGGTTGATAAAAGGCAAATAAGGGTAGCTACCCGAATTTTTTATCCTAACCATTTACAAAACTACTAAATATGTGTAAAAAATGATAAGACAGGATAAGTTTATCTTATCTTGCCTTATCAAGCCAAGCGAACGGCCTTTAAGATGGAACTTACACACATGTAAAAGACAATGTAAAAGAATTAGTTGAAATACATAACAATTGTTGGTGTTATGTTTGTTAAATGAATCAGTAACTTTTATTGTTCATGACCTAGACACATGATAAGTGAAATTAAAAGGACACTAAATTAATAATTATATAAGCACACAAAAAATTTCAATAAAAAAACATATTTTACACACATGAAATCCAATTTTAGCATTTCACAATTTACATATCTCTCTCTCACACACACACAATTTAGTGCAAAATAAACACACATTTTAATACATTAGGGCCTATATTTTTCTTCAAGATATTGTAACTATGTAGTAAGGGAGGGCCCAGAGGTCCGTGGGTCAGCTGCCCCCACCACCCCCAGAGTGCATCCATCCTCTAGCGTTATAGCATAGATGTTATGCAAGTTCATTCTTCCCATCTTTGCATTATAAGTGAAGTAATGTTACAAACATGTGAAATAAACTTTGAAATTTACCAGATTCAGAACCACGAGCACAGTCCTCTGACTTCAAGTTAATCTGGCGGACCAATTTATTACCATGATCACAGATCATTAAAGCACACATTTCAGGAACAAAGGCCAGCTCAAAATCAGAGAAAATGATGCATTTTTTCCATGTCCATCAGCACGGCCTGGTTTTTCATTTCCCGCAATTGTGGTCACACCTAAAGCATCATCCAGTAGTTGCAAAAAGGAGTGAATTTTTTAATATATATATATATATATATATATCAATGCAAACAGCATTTTATAGCATTCAGTATAACAGATGACATATTGGATACAACCAGAGGCATCTTTTTCTCCATAATAGCAAGTCAACTCAACACAATATTCCCTGATTATTGTGTCATAGCTTCTTAGCAAATTAGGATTTTACAAGAGTATGTATATCTAAATTGACTGAATAAATTCCTACTTACATTGACCTTAAAACTAACTAGAATTCAATGAAGCATGAACTTTGCCTTTAAAGTACACAACAAGATTTAGATGGGGAAAAAAAAGAACATATGATATAAAAAAAGAAAATTTCATCTAAACTTTAACATGTTAGACAATGAATTTAATTAACTTGCAATATACATAATGTTTAAAATTTGAAATTGTCATACAAATAGATAATTAAAAATTAATACTAAAAATATTAAATACACTAAATTATCAACAAAAACTTTCAAACACTAAAATTGTAATAATGTTGACTAACAAAAAATATACATGTGATAACAAAACAACAAAACAACAAAATTTTCTTATTAAAATATAAATATATGAATGGTGGAGTAGGGACCGGCTTACAATAAATATTCCTGAAGAAAGGAAAGCATAATACCTGACTTGCTAATCTTTCTTACAGCACCATTGCCCTTGTCAGCAACATACACATTTCCTTTGAAGTCAACGGCAAAGCTTTTTGGACGATCAAACTTAGCAGTCGCCAAATCACCATCCAAGAACCCCTTACCATTACCCGCCATCTGCTTGACACCAATCTCTGAGAGTACATTACATAAATCCATTATTCACATGATAAATTATGTGTCTAAAATTAAAAAATACATACTATATTTAAAAAATTACATTTTTAATTGATCCCCCAGCATGTGTTTGTAGAAATATGTTATACTTTGTACATAGAACTTCGAAGAAAAAATCATTGATTAAATTGTAGATGTGATCCATCTCTTTCAAACGATAAAATAAAATACATACATATATATATATATATATATCTTTGTGAATAAGTGATTGATTTTTTATATTTCCAAAGTGATCCTACTACTACCATATTTCAGAACTTCAGGAGGAAACACGATATATAAAAATTATATTGGCTAACTGCCACTCACTAAGGAGTTTCAATTCCTCTGTTACATGCTTTTATCCAATTCATAAGTGAAAAAATGCTTAGTTAAGTTAAATTATATTTGTTAAATCAGACATTTAATCTTTTGTATATATTTTTCATGTCAAATACGGGGCAAATACTTGAAAAACTGTAAGCAAGACAAATATCTAACTCAAAAGCCAAAACCAAAACTCATGGATACTAAAATTGGAAACCATAACTGCATCCATAGTGAATATGGATAACCAAGATCATATCCCCAAAAATGGTTAACTGGAAAAATAGTGATGTTTTACTAAAATTTTATGTTAAATTCAAATTTAAATGCCCTATAAATAAACTTTAATACTTTGTATTTATAATCTCATTCATAAAAGAAACATCGTATGAAAGAAAATGAAGGCTGAAAATATTTTTTTTATCCATGTTGTCAAACCATCATTCAACAACATCATAAAAATGTTAATTGAACCAAATAAAATTAATTTTGATTTGACCATCCAACAAGTTCAAACTCAAAAACCATCCACCAAGGTTAATAATAATATATTAAGCTCGTTGCTATGTAATGGATTGTGTTCAAACAACAGAAAATTTAAATGGATACTGTTCAGTTCAGATATTGATCCGAATATATAGATAACCAAAACCTATGTCATATCCATAACCACATCCATTAGGGGTGTTCATGGTTTTAAAACCGAACCAAACCAAACTGTACCAAATCAATCCGTATCGAATATTTTAGTATGATTATGGTTTTGTAAATCAAAAACAACAAAAAACCATAATATATTGAAAATTATATATAATAACTTACTAAATTACTTGTAATATGTATAAAATGATTAAACCCCTAAGTATTAGGACAATTCAATGGTAAATTGAAGAAAATTAAAAACTAGCTGCAATTGGACTGAATCAGTCATTCATCTTAGCGTTAAATCTTGCTTTCAGTGGTTGTCAGTTGGGTTGCATAGTGGAGGCAGTTCATGTCCTGCACATGTGAGGTCGCTTTCAAATAAGTTCATAAACAAGGCTGTTACATGTCCACACACATCATGTCTACCTAAGGCTGGATTCTATCAATTTAATATTCTATTGTATATTTGGATCTATATGCTAACTTTGGGGAGTACGTGATTTGGGACTGTTTGTCCACTAGTAATTTAGCATATTCATTCTATCAATGATAAATCAGTCACTTTCATTTGCATATTGAAATTATTGACTTGCCAAACTTGGGATAGTATTGATATTTAAAATGCGTGAAGTTATGAAGAAATGGTGTCCTAGTTGATGGAGTTCATAATAATTTCCCAGTTTTGCTAACTGGTTCCATTTTAGGCTTCCGTCATGGCTTTCCTTGACTATTAAATTTCTGGTAACATTTCCTGATTACTTTTTTAAAACATAACATGCCCCAGTGAAAGAGAACAGTTTAGAAACTTTAGGTTGTTCTATTGATATTGTGCTTTTATGATGAACTTTTAATAATTTCAAACTCTTCTGGTTCTGGGTAATTAGTTTTGTTAGTATGATTTGATCCCTTATCAAGCTGGATATTCCAGATCATATCTAAGACCCGGCATCACAATTTGATCCCTTATTATATGATACTCTGTCAACATGTAATCTTGCTTTCTTAAGTTTATGTGATGACAAGCCATATCATTCTATTTGATTGGTCAGATGGAAGGGACAAAATACAAAAACCCAACCTGTCCTGAATCAAATTTTATTAAAAAAACGTTAAAAAAACGAACAGTGTTCACCGCTAACATCCATCATACCTCCCCCAGTTCAGTTTGGTTGGGATTGTTTAATCTGATATCCACATCCACCGACATCCCAACATCCCTAGTCCCTCCCTGTGTATGTATAGAATATAGAGAGAGGGAGATATACTCTCGCAAATGCAAAAACAATCTCAATGAAAAACAAAAATTCATGGGAACACATGCATGGTACCTTGCGATGGGCTGAACGAGACTGTGTAAAAAGCACTGTTCTGAGAATCGAGGACGATGAAATCGGAAGATTGAAATCGAGGGAGGATGAAGTGCGGGTTGATCTCTAACGCGTTGCCGTCTAGGACTGTACTCACACTGTAGCCATCTTCATACACGGGCTCAGCGTATGCTGAAAGTGATCGAAAATTTTAAGGATTCCGAGGAAAATATCAGTCTAATTAATACAGAAACTAATAATGGTAAATTTAAAGAAGACATGACATTAGTACCAGAAAGGAAGCAGAGAGCGAAGAAGAAAGAGAAGATTGACGCCATGAATCCGAACGCCTTCAACCTCCCTCAGCTAAGCAAGCAAGCCTTTAAGTCACCTTTACCGTCGTGCAGTCAAAAAGCAGGTCTCCTCCAAACCAGCGCGGCAGTGCCCTCCATCGTTTTTGCGGAAGGTGCCGATTTGGTCCCTAAATTTGAGTACTCTTTTCATATTAGTCACTGAATTGCCTTTTTTTCCACCAATTTAGCCTCCCAACATAAGAATCTCTAGGGGAACAGTAGCACTCGGGATCTGGTCCTCGAATTAGGTCACTTTCCTCCCGTTAGTTCCTAAACTATTATTTTACTAATTGGATCCTTTGATTTCAGGCTTTAACAATTTAGCCCTTCCGTTAGTTCTATCGTTTATTGCCGGGCACTTTGCACCAATGCTTTGAACTTTGCATTTAATTTCAATTTAGTCTCCCAACTTCAATTTATCACAATTTGGTTTATTAACTATTTGTCAAAATTAGACGAGGCAAATAGGATAAGACACATGTGGCACACAATTTGTGTGATTAAAAATTATAAAAGCATTTTTTTTAAATTCAAAACCAAAACCAACCAAACCTTTTAAAAATTTATCTCTTATGAATAAATTCAATAATGAATATTTATTGACCAATTTTATTAGCTTAGAATAATTTTATTGCCGAATTTTCAAAATCTCTAAACTTGTGATTGATTTTTAAATTATATTTATTTTGCTTGTAATAATTTAATCCTTTTATTTTTTTTAGAATATTTTATTAAGAAAATGGAGTGCCGTGTGTGCGCTTTATTATTTTACTTTGCCACTTTGTATCAATTTGTAGAGTTTAATATCTTAATTGTAATATATTGAAGTTCCGTGATCAAATTGAAATCAAATGCAAAGTTTAATGACTACTGATATGCCTTACCCCAACAATTAACGGTGCAAATTTAATTGAAGGACGATTTTGATTGATAATTCCATAATTCAAGAACCAAATTGGTAAAAAAATTTATTTAAATGCCAAAATAGAAAAAGAGGTCAAGTAGTCCCTCCGTTAATCTCCGCCCTCAATTTCTAGGTAAATTACATCAATGGCTATTGAACTTTGAGTTGGGCTTCAATTTAGTCTCCAACATTTAATTTGTTACAACTAGGCCCTGTTCACTTGGCTTGATAAGATAGGATAAGATCACTTGCCACCATGGACTGTCGACATCTTCATTTTCGACTTCAGACCATATAGAATACCTAACACCAGGAGGATTTTCCTTCTCCTTCCCCTTGTCTTTTTTGCTCGTGCCAGAATTAATTGTTGGTAGAGCACCATTATTCTGGATTTTTAGTGCTGCCACGTCTGTAGCCAAAGTGTTTATTGCTTCAAATTGAGAACCAATGGTGGCCAGTTGGCGGGCTATTGGGTCAGTGTTTGGTGGGGTAGGGGATAGATTGATGTTTTGTGGGTTTTGGTTTCAAATGGTTGAGAGGATGAACGGGTGGTCACTATGTTGGATCGGATTGCTTTGATACCAATTGATAGACACAGGAAAAAGATATGAAAAATAAAGGGGGAAATATTATTAGCTGTAGAAGTGCAAGAATCTTCAACACAAAAACAACTAATGAGCTGGTCCAATTCGAGAGGACAAATCTCCAACATAATAATTCAATTGTTAACTCCTCATCCTAATTCAAAACAACTCCTAGGATATTTATAGTGCATATGCTAGAGGATTATTTATTAACAACCCTAACTAAGTTCCTATGACAAAGGAGATAGATTCCTAAGATATTTATAGTGCATATCTTGGAGTATTATTTGCTAACACTCACTACTAAATTCCTATAAAAAAGGAGATAGATTCTTGAGAGATACGCAAAAAATTAAGGAAGTTGGAACTGGTCTTCAGCCATCTGTTTTCTGCCACGTGTCCTTTTCCTTGAAAATGTCTTTAAGGGTAAAATTCTATTAATAAGTGTGATAAAATTTATCTATGGTGATAAAAGGTGATAAAATTTTTTTAAAATAATATTGTCCATACTCTTTCCGAATGGGTAAAATTACTGTACGGATATGATAAAATTATCTTATTAATGCAACCAAACGGCTCTTAGGTTGCATAATCATAAAGTTGAAACATTTAAAGGCGCGTTTGGTAAGGGTGACGAAGGGTGATAAGATAAAATTTATCAGCTGTTACACGTGTTTTGTTGGCATGTAACAACGCGTGTAATAGATAACAACGCGTGTAATAGATATATATCAGTAGAAGCCAGATACGTTATCAGCCAAAATCATCGGGATAAATTTTATCCGCGAATTAAACTGTGGCCGTCGGATGAAAATGCCATGAGTCATGCGGGCAAAGAGAGGTGAACGACTCAGGTTAGAGGTGAACGACCAGTGGTAGGAGGCAGTCTGCCTAGGTTGGCGACGGTGGAAGGCAGACGACTCGTCGACATCGTCTAGCTTGACTGGTTGACTGGAAGTAGAGGGAGGTCGACTGGTCAACTGGAAGAGGACGGGATCCGTGTGGCCCGATCTGTTCATGCTGCGCAATCCGACGGTGGGAGGCAGACGACTCGTCAGCATCGTCTGGCCCTACTGGTCGACTGGAAGCAGAGGCAGGACGACTGGTTGACGGCCGTAGAGCATGACAACCTTCTGGGTTGAAGACGACGTAGGTGGGGCGTCGTCGTCTGCAGAGCAGGACGACCTTCCGGGTTGAAGACGATGCCGAGCATGACGACCTTCTGGGTTGAAGACAACGTAGATGGGGCATCATTGTCCACAGAGCAGGACGACCTTCCAAGTTGAAGACGACGCAGATGGGGCGTCATCGTCCGCAGAGCAGCATGACCTTCCGGGTTGAAGATGAGGCAGATGGGGATCCTAGCAGCGATTCGATCGGTATGCTTGGCTTTTTTTTTTTTATCTGAGGGTTTTTTCGTAAATTTTTCATTTTTATCCTACAAACTTCAAATTTTTTTTTGTTGAACCAAATGTGTGATAAAATTTATCCTCTTGTTAAATTTATCCTGCTACATCTTATCCTCCTATATCCTATCTTCCCATCCGAACGGCCCATAAGGGTAAAATTCTATCAATAAGTGTGATAAATTTTATTTAGGGTGATAAAGTGTGATAAAATTTTTTTAAAATAATATTATTCATACTCTTCCCGAATGAGTAAAATTACTGTACAGATATGATAAAATTATCTTATTCTCCTTATCCTATTAATGCAACCAAACAACTCTTAGGTTGTATAATCATAAAGTTGAAATAAAATAAGGAAAGATATGATAAAATTATCTTGTTCCCCTTATCCTATTAATGCAACCAAATGGCTCTTAGGTTGCATAATTATAAAGTTGAAACAAAATAAGGAAGTGATGTGTTTTTCTTTCCTTTTTGAAGTTCAATATCCCAGTTGTAAGAAATTGAAGTTAGTTGATCAAATTGGAAACAATTAAAAAGCTCCATTGATGTAATTTACCCAACCATAGAAGGAAAAGATTTAATTAAGGAGCACTTTGATTCATAATTCTAAAGTTTCAGAACCAAATTCGTAATATAGTTAGTTAAAACTTTGAGAAATTATTGAAGCACATACTTTTTTTATATGAAAGGAAAAATGATTAGAAAGAGAATCAATCGTTAATGACACGGTCTTAGATATAAGTAATTGAAATCTCAAGTATTGGAGAACAATTAAATAGTAGATAGACAGGAAGTCTCCTAAAATGCAAATATAAAGACGGCTTGGTATAAAATGCAAAAAATTTTAAAGATTTGGATCATCTCGTAATTATACTAAAAACAAATTAAGTCTACTCCTTTCTTTACTACTCCTTCTCAACATGAATTGCTTTGAAAGTAGACATTTACGGGAAAAAATATCAATATGGTTGTTGAGTTAAAATATAGGCTCGAGGGAATAAAATAAAAAGTATTGATTTAGAAGATTTGAAACAAAGTTTTTGTTTGGTTGAGATAATTTGATTTCTCAAAATATTATTTTATTCATAAACACCATCTATAATTATACAAATATGTATCTATATTTTTACAATAATATATTTATAATTTTACAAGTATATATTTGTAATTTTATAAGTATTCATTTGTTTATTTACAAGTATGCATTTATAATATACAAATATGTATATGTGTTTTACAATTTTTTTTGTGTTTTTACAAGCATGCATCTATATGTTTATTATAAGCATGCTTGTAAAAATATAGACAGCTACATGTGAAACTACACATGTAAGCTTATAAATAGACATATGAATGTTTGTAAAATTATATGTACATACATGTAAAATTACATATGTATCTTGTAAAAATATAAATATATATATTTGCAAAATCATAGATGTATTGTTGTCAAAATATAAATGCATACTTGTAAAATGATAAATAATACTTTCGAGTAGAGTAGGAGGAAGATATTTTGAAAATTTAAATTATTTTAATTCAACAAAAATTTTGTTTCAAACCTTCCAGAGCAATATTTTTATTTTAAACTTCCGAATCTATTTTAACCAAGCGGACCTAATAGTAATTTTCCGATCTTTGTATGCTTAACAACTTGTACTGCTTACTGCTTAGGTTGTTTTTGAGTTTGTGGGAAGCATGTTTGAGCCTGTAATCAGCCGAAAATGTATTTAATATTTTGTAGCTAAGAAAATATATATTAATAACAATAATAATGTAGAAATAAATCATTTATTTCATATATAATATTACTGGAAACTGAAATCTTTTCACAAAACTTGTGTGAATATTCAATTTATTTATTTATTGGTTTCAAAAGCCAATCCATTAAAACAAATCATATATTTTCAATCACCACTATATATAAATTATGTCAAAACCTTGTGCTTAGATCAAATCGAGTGTCATGATTTTAAATGAAAAAAATATTGATTTTTTTTGGGGGTTTTAATTTCTATTTTTTTTCAAATTATTTTTCTTTCATAACAATATTAATTTTTCTGAATTTATTAGAAACTCAAATCAACCAACCTACCAACTTTTTTAAATCATAAAAATCTAAAAATCATAATTAAAATCAAATAAATTCTCATAAATTTATTTTATATGGAATATTATATCAGAGGGAGAAGCAAAGAACATTGTACAAAATACATAACTTTGCGCAGACGATATATATCATAGCATCAATATAGGGTCATTTTGAATAAGTTTGTAAATTGGGGCCATCTAAGCAATTATCTTGGTTCGTACATTTATGTGAATCAAAACCAGCTAATTATGTGAATTGGGCCGAACCGAAATGGCTCGTTCATTTTTGGTTTTGATCGTTTGATCAATTTTTTTAATCCACAATGTACCCCTACTTTCACTGCATGCAAGCTTACTTCTTCGAAGTATTATTTGCAAAAACGCGATCAGTGTGGGGGCATAACTCAAACAGACAGTGAGGATATTTGACAAAAATCTGATTTAAAATATTATATAATTAGAAAATTATTTCTTCACCCACTAACAAATATATAAATGACCAATTATTAGGTTTTCTCCTCCTTCTAGTTGATTTTTGGATGTTGTTACTAGGTTAATTTATGGGATAGAAATGAGTTGAATTAATTGCCTCAACAAATTAAACTCACTAACCAAAATAAGTGACACATGAATTAGATTTTTCGACTCGTATAAATTGTGAGTTGAATTTAAGATAAAAAATATTTAGCTCATTTAGTTTATGAGATAATTCAATACACACGTATATGTATATATATATATATATATAAGATTTCATCTATTTCTAATTCATTTGTGAAGAATGGATTGTTATTTTTTTAATTCTTAAATAAGTTATATATTCGAGATTCTATCTACTCTTAATTGATTTGTGATAAATAAATTATTATTTTTTAATTCTTAAATAAATTAAATTTCTTAAATTTTTAAAAAATAAACAATTATTTTTTACTTTTGAAAATGTTGAATACAAAAAAGTCAATTATCCCTTAATTTTTTAATTTTTGAAAAAATTATGAAGTACCAAAATCAAAACCATTATTCATTAAGCAGCGTTCTGAAAGACTTGACCTCAAAAGTTACAAATAGGCAGGATAGATTGTGAATAGCCAGCGGCTCCGTTTGCCAATTGTTTAGTTTTTTTTTTTTTTAATCTTTTTGATTTTTTGAGGTTTTCTTTATAATATTAAATTTTTGTTGATATTAATTGGCTAATTTCCTTTTTTTTATACACAATAATTTATTTTGATATTAAATCAAATTGTAAATGTAGATATTATGACTTTATAATTATAGTTTGTTATTTATTATTGTTACTTAAATAGGATATATAATTTATAATTAAATTTTTTTTTAATACGTGTGAACTAATTAATTGAGTCTGAGTCGTTGTGAGTTTAGTACAATTTAAGCTTGACTTAAAAATAAGTTAAATTATTAAAGTGAGTCAAATGTAAGATGAGATTAATCTAATTTAATTACATTCATTTTCATATATAGTAAAAATTAAAAATACTCGAATAGAATGAAAATCTATTTTTAATTTGTCAAATTAATATATTTCTCTATAAATTATTTTAAAAATCAAGATTAGAATTTTTTTTATTAAAAAATATAAACTATTAGTTTGAAAATTAAGGACCCATGTTGCACAAACTTAACCTCTTCGTTTGAAATTAATTCATTTATTGGCCTTAGTCAGAAGGCAACGTATGGAAGACAATTTATCAGGTGACGATCTCTGCCAATCATATTTGAAGGGTGACGAAACAGTTTCACGGACATGCTACACGATCATTACGGTAAACTGCATTTCATTTTTTCGTATTCCACCGTAGAGGGGAAGGAGAAGTTTGATGATGGAATTATATTTGATAATTACAAACACACATTCACGAATGAAAGCACATTTTAACTCTGTAATTCCATATCTTTCCAGATCCAAATCTCTCTGAAAATTTTCCATTTGTTTATTTCAATTCAACTCTTCAGATCTCAATTCTCAGCTTTCCACACACACATATGAAAATGTATATGCAGGCGCAATTCGGGCCACCTGTGTGATAGATCGAGTTGTTCGCATTCGCAACTTGATTTGGTCGGATTAACACGAACGTTCAAAATGGACTTGAATCCCTTCTCCTCTGGCACGCGCCTGAGGTGAGTAAACTGATCCTTTCATTTTCCTCCTCAAGGTTGTTCATATGCACGCATGAGATCAAGGGAAAACTAATGAAGACGGAATTTGGTCATTGAATTTTCTAACTTGACGGGAATATCTTCGAGTTGCCCGTTGCTAACCATATAGGGAGGAAGCTGGGAATGCCATAGGTTTAAGATTTTAATCAGCATACGGTGTAAGGTTTGTTACGTTGCTTGCATTGCTGAACCGGGCTGGGTTGTTCTGGTTTCTTCTTGTTGAAACATTGGACTTTGAATTTTCCTTTATTTACATGCACTTTGTTTGGTAAATTCGTTGGCATTTACTGTTTGCATCACTAAGTACACTGCGATCCTGTAATTGGCGATTTATTGATTCTACATGACAAGAGCCCATACAAAATATGCCCCCTGAAATAAAATAGTCAATACAAGAAAGTGAAAGCAAAGTTATTGGCACGTCCAACATCTATGCATTACCGGTCCTAAATTATATATTTAAACTCAGGTGATGTACCCAGTTATGGTCACAAACAATAGAGATAGCATCGTTGCCCTGCTAACTGCTAGTTTCTGTGGACGTGTATACAAGTACGATTGAGAGAGCATCAGAATAGTGTAGGCCAGCAATTGGATTTTTAATGAAGTTGCTTATGTTTTTAATTAAATAAATAATATATATATATATATATATTTTTTTTTTGGGGGGGGGGGGGGGTGGGGTGGGGGGAGGGGCGTGTGGATGGGGAGTCAGAGAGGGGGATGCCGTCACATAGCCCCTGGCTTAATTGTGCCTGAGTCCATAGTTTTCGTATTGTAATAGTTATACAGAGTTGTGGAGCCTGCTGTTTCAACTTTCCCATTTCGAATATTTGCTTCTTTATATGATGTGTAGACTAGGGGCTAATGCCTCTATGGTTATATCATCTGAGATATTTCTCTCACTAACAAATGGGATGTCGCTGCATGCTGTTGGCAAAAAGGTGCACGTTGTCAGATTAGACTAGGAAGCAGGCTATTTTGTGTCCATGGACATATGACACATGTCAGATGCACCATGTGGCATGTCTAATTTTTTTTTTTTTTTCAGTTCTTTTTCTTTTTCAATTTCTGACATTTATATCCAGCTACAGAGAGGGACATGTTGAATCAGAAAGACTTGCTTCTCTATGATTAATCTATATCTTATAAGATTTACTTAATATCAAATTTCTACAAGAAGGGTAGGAAATTATAATATCTAAGTTTTGAAGGGAAGAAATAATATTACAAATTATTGTCGTTTCTTATTCATTTTGATTGGTGTTTAATTGTAAATGGATCAGTCTTCTTACTTGATATGATGCAATTTTTGGCCTTTTTACACATGCTGATTATTATTATTTTTATTATTATTGTCATTAGCCTCTTGGGGGGGGGGGGGGGGGGGGGGGGGAGATCTGAACTCTTGGCTTCTAAATGAACCTTAAAAGTGTCCTACCACTTAGGCTAGGCTTTGGGTTCTACATATGTTGAGTTTTGATCAATAAAAGAATTCATGTCTTTTGGTTGTGTCCTTCCTTGTTTGATCTCTGAGATGCTTCGTTGAGGCGTCCAAGTCCATGTCATGTCAAGTCACTGTCTATTTCTGTGCTTCTTGTGCCTCAGTCCTTAGACATGCATCTTCAGGCCAATTAAACTTTGGGTTATTACCTCCAATTTCTAAAATAAATTGGTTTCTCTTTCACCAGTGATGGGTCTTCATTAATTTAAGAAAAAATTATTAATCACATGCCATGGACTTCATTTTTGAAAACAGGGATATGATTCAGGCTGTTCGTGCTTGTAAAACTGCAGCAGAGGAGCGTGCTGTTGTCAGAAAAGAATGTGCTGCAATTCGTGCGGCAATTAGTGCAAATGATCAATATTATAGGCATCGTAATTTGGCAAAGCTTATGTTCATCCACATGCTTGGCTACCCCACGCATTTTGGTCAGATGGAATGCCTGAAGTTAATTGCATCAAATGGATTTCCAGAGAAGAGGATAGGGTATCTAGGACTTATGTTGCTTCTCGATGAAAGACATGAAGTATTGATGCTGGTCACAAACTCATTGAAGCAGTATCCAAGGAGTTCTTTGTTACTTTAAGGCTTAATTATTGGATTTTCTGTCACTTTCTATTCAAAATCAATAAATTATATGTATTACTCCATTCTTGCTGGTTTATAAGTATGCCTTTCGAAAACTTAACTTGTTCATAGAGATCTCTACCATTCTAACCAGTACATTGTGGGACTAGCTCTCTGTGCTCTGGGTAATATAAGTTCTGAAGAAATGGCTCGTGATCTTGCCCCTGAAGTTGAAAAGTTGCTGCTGTTTCGAGATCCAAATATTCGCAAGAAAGTAAGATGGGTTCTTTTTATGGTCATTTAACTAAAGTTGTATTACTCTGGCATAAGTTGGATTTCCATGCTTGATGTTGTTGCCAAATAATATGGTAGGAGAACTTGAACATCTGTGATAATTGAGAAGTAATAATAGCTATGCTAGCCATCTTCGTTTAGATTTAATCCTGGGGACAAATTTTAAATGCTTCAGAAAGGTAAATGAAATCCACCTGTATTGCCATTAGGCTGGCAAAATTACAGTCACAGCTTTCCGCTATTTCTATGTGCTTTGACTGGAGGAGTAAATCTTTCGTGATTCTATTTGTTCTTCTGGTTTTCAGGTTTGTCTGTATGTTTTTTTTCCCCAACAATTTTTGTAAAAAGAGTTCGTTTTACTGTTGGTGAAAGGAATTGGTGATTTCAACAAGTCTTCATGTGGTATGCTAAATGGAACTTGTATAATATACCCTATAGATTCCTTCATGCAAAAGGAAATACACCCTCATTGCACCTTCCGCTACCTTATTAGGAAGCTGATTTTTTAAGCATTTTCCTCTCTTTGGAGTTGTTAACATAAATGAATTGGGAAAATGATTTACAGGGTGTAATACTCACCATTTTTTCCTTCTTCTTTTGGACAAAGTTATCTTATTTCAAAAGGTCAATTCAATTTGAACCTAATGAAGAATGCTCAAATTTAAGTGTTTTACTATTAGCTTATACTGTATGATTCATTTGTTCAGTTTCTTGCTGATGTCAAAGTTCAGAGATTAGAATTGCATGGCTTGAATTGATTTATGTTAACTCTTATGCAATTTGTAATGTTCATTACCAACTTTTTGGTCATCTGGCCTGTCTTTTATATTTCAGGTAATTGTAGTTCTTTGATATATTGCAGGCAGCATTATGCTCCACTAGACTAATAAAGAAAGTCCCGGACGTGGCAGAAAATTTTGTAAAGCCTGCTTCTTCCTTACTTAAGGACAAGCACCATGGAGTTTTAATAACTGGGCTGCAGCTCTGCACAGATCTGTGTAAAGTCAGTGCAGAAGCTTTTGAATATTTCAGAAAGGTAAGTTGGCTGTTAGCCCCACATTGACTTTGATGCAAGTTTTATCAAATTTAGAAGTTTATTAAAAATTCTGTTCATCTTATTGTAAGTCTTTTTTGGCATTTAATGAATGATATGTGTTGGATGCAAGGGATACATTTGTGTGGCCATTTTCTAACTAATAAGTAATAAATATAACACTACAAGGCAAATCAATGTCCTTCCTAGCCACTTATTAAATATTGTTGGAATAGTTAGTCTTATATTAGAATAGTTAGTCTTTATTTAATCTTACATCCAATAATGCATTGATTAGTATTTTATTATGAAGTGCATATGTATGTATCACTAATGTGATTTATTTAAGGTTGTTTTTCTCCTTCCTACTTTCACATGGTATTAGAGCCAGGAGGGGGGGGGGGGAAAACTAGCCCTCATCACTGTGCTTTCTCTTCCAGTGATGAGTTAAACCCTAGTCTTCATCACTGTAGTCTTCTTCCAATGATGCCATTATTGTGCGTCTCGCCCTAGCTAGTGTGATTAAACTTGTCAGTCACCGGAATCATTGACTTTGTTTTTCTCGACAGTCGGCCTTCCTTTGTGCCCTTCAATGACTGTCGTTTCCCCTAAACTCTAAAAAACTAGATTCTTGCCTCCTTGTAAGTCTCCAATCAGTTGATTTGTCAATCTGATCGACTTCATTTGGGAGTTTCTTGGCTTTTCAAAAGTTTCACATCAAGCCTCCATCAACGTCGCTAGTGTCTATTCAGTCTCCATTGATGTCACCAGTCTCTGATCGGCCTTCCACCAACCTCACTAGTCTTTGATCAACCTTCCTTGATGTCGCCAGATATCGATTGACTTCCATCAGCCATCGATCTGACCAGATCGATTAGAATCTTTTTCTCTAGCAATGAACAGGCGCAGAATAAGCCTTCTTGAACTAGACCGAACTGAACTGAACTGGTCGGATCGAATCAAACTAGCCTTCCTAATCTAGCAGAATTAAAAAAAGGGGGTTGGACCAGTTTTTCTACTTTTGGTTTCTGGAATCGTGACTAATTCAGGATTCAAATCCTCATCTGAAATGACATTAGCACTTAGGTCTGGTACTTTTTCTCCTATCATTACTCCCACTACTATAATTACTTCTCACAAATTAGTAGGGAGTTCCAATTACATTGCATGGTTCAGATCTATTAAGTTATGGTTTTGTGGTCAAGGGTATGAAAATCGCTTGACATCTAAACTTGAGACAATACGTCTTGCCAAGAAGACTGTGTTTCAGAAGATTGATGCATTTCTATGTAATTTATTATTGCAATCAATTGATCCTAAACTTAATAGTAGTATCTATCAGGCATATGATACTTGTTATGAGATTTGAGATAAGGCCAAGTCACTTTATACCGATAACATTCATTGTCTCTTTATTGTGGTGTCCAATATGTTTAATTTAAAACAAGATGTTGATATGTTTGAATTTGTTGGAAAGCTTTATTCTATGAGGCAGGAGCTGAGTTTTCTCTTGACTGTATTGGACACTGCTAATCAATCAACATAGATAGATAACCTGATCATGGTACTTAATTTGATTGCTCTTCGTCTAGCCTTGCTTTTATCCGAGATCAAATTCTTGCTGGTTCGGTAGTTCTCTCTTTACATGATCTTTATGCACGGTTACTTCACATTGCATCTGCTGCTCCATTGTCTAAGCATTCTTCGATTGAACCTATAGGATTGGCCTCTCAAACTACTCCTAAGGGAGAACAAATAGGTGGTAGAGGTACTGGTAATGCTTGGAATAATCGTCCTAAATGTAGTTATTGCCAGAAAGGGGGACATTCTAGGGATAAGTGCCACAAGTGACATGGTCGACCATCACGTGTTGTCAACATTGCTCAGATTGATAATTATGAATCTAAGCCTACTTCAGAGGAATAGTCACCATCTATTATTGTGACAGTATTAGAACATGAGAACTATCTCCATTACAAAGCTGGTCAGCAGCCATCTGCTTCTGTTGCTCGTGCTGGTAACTCTATAGCCTGTTTTACTAGGTCTTCTGGACTTGGACCATGGGTTCTCAATCCTGGTGCCTAACCAACATTTTTTCTCCCATCTTACTTACTCCACTAATGGTTCCAAAATTATGGTCAAATGCGTTGGTCAAGCTCCACTTTTTTCCGTCATTAAACTTAGATTCTGTTCTTTATGTTCCTAGTTATCCGTTTAATCTTATTTCAATTAGTAAATTAACACATGCCTTGAATTGCTCAGTAACCTTTTTGAATGATTCTGTTATTGTATAGGACCGGGTAGAGGATAGATAATTGGCACAGGACATGAGTCACATGGGCTTTATCACATCGATTTACCATCTTCTTCAGTTGCCTGCACTTCTATAGAATTTGCCACTCTTATTCATAATTGCTTGGGCCGTCCAAGTCTTTCCAAAGTATAGAAAATGGTTCCGAGTCTTTCACCCTTGTCCTTTTTGGATTGTGAGTCGTGTCAACTTGAAAAATAGTCACGTGTTTCATTCCCGAAGCGAGTCAATAACAAGGCTACATCCCCTTTTGAGTTAGTCTATTCAGATATTTGGGGTCCGAGTCATATTCCATGTGTTCTCGGTTATTAGTATTTTGTTATATTTATTGATGACTATTGTTGATGTACTCAGTTATATTTATTGGAAAACTTTTTAAAATATTTTTTGTTTTCAAGGAATTTTGTGCTGAAATAAAAAAATCAATTTAATGTTTCAATTCGTGTTTTGGGTAGTGATAATGCTTGTGAATATTTTTCTATTTCTTTCATCAAATTCATGGCTTCTTAGGGCATTCTTCACTAGTCTTCTTGTGCTCACACACCGTGGCAAAATGATGTTGCAGAACGCGAGAATCACCATCTCATTGAAATAACTTGTAATCTATTACTTCATTTTAATGTTCCTTCTCGTTTTTGGGCTGATGTTGTTCTTACTGTTTGCTACTTAGTTAACTGTATGCCTTCTTTAGTTTTATAGCACCAAATTCCCTTCTCCATTCTATTTTCCAACCAATTTGTTTAGCTTCTTCCTCCTTGTGTATTTGGTTGTATCTGTTTTTTCATAACTTAGCTCCTAGACAAGACAAACTTTTTGCTCGGTCCATCAAATGTGTTTTCTTGGGGTTTTCTCGAGTGCAGAAAGGATACTGGTGTTATTCTCATACTACTTAGCGCTTCTACATTTCTGCTGATGTTACCTTCTTTGAGTCTTTACCATACTTTGCTACTTCATCAAATTCAGGTTCTGTTTCTCAAGTTCTTCCTATTCCATATTTAGGTCCTTCACTTCACACTACTACACAACAAGCTACTCCACTTGTTTTTGACCTTACACGTCCATTTCATCCTTTACAGGTTTATAGTTGTCGACCTCGCCTCCCTCCTACCAGTGCTAAAGAGGTTCCATTTGACTCACCAATTGCACCAATATCTCCTCATACCACAGAGCTATCTATAGATGCTTGTCCACCAGTTATTCTCCAAAAAGGTGTTCTCTCCACCAAGAATCTTTATCCTATTTATACCTTTCTTAGTTATCATCGTTGTCTCCTTCCTATTATTCCTTGTCTCTATTTTATCCTCTGTGTCTATTCCTAAGACTATTAGTGAGGTACTTTTAGATCCAGGGTGGTGATAGGCTATGGTTAATGAGATGACTGCTTTTCATTGTAATGGTACTTGGGATTTGGTACCCTTACCTCTTGGCAAGTCTACTGTAGGTTGTTGTTGGGATTACACTATCAAAGTTGGCCCTGATGGATAGGTTAATTATCTTAAGGCCCATTTAGTCACAAGGTCTACATATATATTTATGGATTGGATTATGGTGACACCTTCTCTCTTGTGGTTAAGATTGCTTCCGTACGTTTATTTCTCTCTATTGCTGCCATGAATCACTAGCCTCTTTATTAGCTAGACATAAAAAATGCCTTCCTTCATGGTGAATTATTTATCTCTATTGCTGCCATGAATCACTATATGGAGCAACCGTTCGGCTTTGTTGCTTAGGGGGAGTCTGGTTTGATTTGTTGACTTTGATGCTTACTTTATGACTTGAAACAGTCTCCAAGGGCCAGGTTTAGCCATTTTAGTATAGTTATTCAAGAGTTTGGCATGATTCAAAGTGAAGCTGATCATTCAGTTTTCTATTGTCTTGGACCACACAGTAAATGCACCCTTCTCGTTGTTTATGTTGATAACATTGTCATTACCGGGAATGATCAGGATGATATTTAGCAGCTCAAATAACACCTTTTTACTCACTTTTAGACCAAAGATTTGGGTCGAGTTAAGTATTTTCTTGAGATAGGGGTGGCTCAGTCCAATTTTGGCGTTCTTATCTCCCAACATCAATATGCTCTGGATATACTTTAAGAAACTGATATATTGGACTATGAATTTGTTAGTACACCTATGGATATGAATGTCAAACTCCTTCCAGGACAAGAGGAGCCTTTTGCAGATTTTGGAAGATATTCGAGGCTACTGGGGAAACTTAATTACTTGACTATCACTCGATTAGATATGTCATTTGTTGTAAGTGTAGTAAGTCAATTTTTACATTCTTCACATGATAGCCATTGGGATGCTGTGATCTACATTTTCAGGTACATTAAAAGAGCACTAGGTTAAGGATTATTATATGAAGATAAGGGATATATTTAGGTGATTGGATATTCTGATGCAGATTGGGCGGATTTATCTTCAGGTAGACGCTTTACTTTAGGATACTGTGTTTTGATTGGAAGTAATTTGATGTCTTGAAAAAGTAAGAAACAGAATGTTGTTGTTAGGTCAAGTGCTGAAGCTGGATATTGGGCTATGGCTTTGGCAACTTGTGAACTAGTTTGGTTGAAGTAGTTGCTTCAAGAATTGAAGTTTGGAGAGGTTGGACAAATGAAGTTAATCTATGATAACCAAGCTGGCCTACATATTGTCTCTAACCAAGTGTTCTATAATATAAACCAAACACATAGAAGTTGATTGTCATTAGAGAGAAGATCTTGTGTGGATGCATTTCTACTACTTTTGTCAACTCTGCTTATCAACTAGTAGATATCTTTACTAAATCTCTTAGAGGTCCTTGAATCACCTTTCTTTGTAACAAACTTGGTGCATATGACTTATATGCTCCAATTGGAGGAGTGTTGGAATAGTTAGTCTTTATCCAATCCTGTATTAAATAATGTGATCATTAGTATTTTATTATGAAGTATATATATATGTATCACTAATGTCATTTATTCAAGGTTCTTTTTCTTCTTCCTACTTTCACAAATATAATAGTTGAAACTCCTAATTCTGGACAAATATAGGGTGGAGTGTTGTATGAGTATCATACTTTTTGGTAAGGTGGTAAGCCTTATTCAAATTTATAAAAGGATAGACGAGCTTTTGCAAGCATCAGATTACTCAACTAGATGTCCTATTAGATGCTTCATAAAGCTTAGATTTCAAGGGCTAACTGGTCCTTTTGTCATGATGTCAGGGCACATTGGCTCATTTATATTGCTATGGAGGCATTTACCGTTTTTAGCTTGTTGCTTCTTAGTCACTAATTTATTATTTTATTCTTCGGCCTATTTGTCATATTCCGTGGACAATTGACTTGTTTTGACATTTTTACTTAAGTTCAGCTCAACTCAACTCGACTTAACCAAGTCTTTTCCTAACTATACGTAGTTGGTTATTTGGTCTTATGTTTGCATTATGTTTTAGTTAAACTTAATATTGAGTTCAGTGTTGTTAAAAGCACCAGTTGCCCTTAGGGTGCCAAGCTTCCCCATTGCTTAAGGTGTTATGTGCCATGCTAGGTGTTTGCCTTAATGAAATGAGGCATTGTCTTAAAAAAACCTTTGTACTAACTAAGGCACTGTCGTAAAAAAACATTTGTACTAACCAAGAAAATAAACCAATGCTCATCTGCTAAAAGCAATCTGCAAACCACAACTTTAATTTAAAGTATCTTATCTAATAACGTAATAGTATTATTTAAAATTTTCAAATCCCATGGGAGAAGGTCAACAAAAAAGTGTATAATAATCTCATTTGTAATGTTAATTTATGGTCTAGCCTCTATAGATAGATTGAGAGGTTTTATTTATTTATTTAAATCTTGTAGTAATGGTTTGTATGCGGAGAGGTTGCCTGACTTTTGATAGAGAAATTTCTCCTACTTAGTTGAAGAAAGTTCTTTTTCTATTAGGTTTACTAATATGGCCACTTTGTTATTTCTTCCTTTGATATCTCAAACTTCAATTACTTCAGATAATAGTATCTCAAATTTTGACATTTTACCTACTAGAAATAGGCTATGTTGGACATGATTTTATTGGAGCGATTGCCTGATTGCCTAGAGCCTTAAGTCAAAGCGCTCACCTGGGCACTAAAGTAACACCTACTGTCGCCTAACCGCATAAGTGAGGAAGGCAAGGGCTTTTGATAAAACTAATTGAGTCATTATATCTTATATTACTGAAACAAACTATTTTGATCTTCTTGGTGCTTTATTATTACTTTAAATATAGAAATGGTTACTTCTCTTAGTTGGGGTGCTTTTAGGTTTTATTGCACATATCTAAACCATACAAGCCTATTTTCTCTTGTTTTATTCTAGTTAGGTACTCTCTTCATCATATGTTGAATTTGGTCATTTCTAACTCTATGTTGCAGTTTCATTAACATCTGGCTTAACATCCTTATTTAGTAATGCCAAAGAAATTTTGTCTTTTAATCATCCCAGCTACTGTTCTGGAAAGCACAGGCTATTTTATAAGTTTTCCCAGAAGACCTTACTTTTAATCTCCCAGGTATATGCTGGTTAGAAAAGAATTCTAAAGCCTACCTCTGTTTAGAAATTTGATGATTTAGGTCCATCTTTTCTTTCTATATGCATGATTAAACCTAGTCATTTAAACTCACTCTTTGAAATTGCTGGATTGGGGGTGGCTATGGGAGGCCATAAAGTTGGCTGTCTCCCATTTAACATACTTTCAAAATGTTGGATCAATTTATTTTGAAATTTTAATTACTGCAAAGGTTACTTTATTCTTTGGCCTTCTATTTATATCCTCTCTCTATGCTACATTTGGAATCACATTCTTTGAAGGAAAGTAAAAGAAAAATCGCAGAGATAATAAATATAAAGTAGAAAATCAAATTGCTTTTTATTTCTTTGGTTGGCTGAGAATACAAGATGGAAATATTAAAGTTCTGAAAACTACATTTTCGAATTGATTAAATATCTGAAAATTATAAAAATAAACATCTATGTTCCAACTCCCAAGTGTATCATTAAAAATATTCAAATTTATATGATTTTTTGGAATAGATGTTGCTTAACTTTGAGCATTCAGTACTTTTTATGTCTTATGATTGTTAGTATTTCCTGTTCAAAGAAATTATTTAAAAATAAAAAAATTGAAGGAAATTATTTTTCCAGCAGAGTCTTTGAGTAGTGTCTTAATTATAATTAATCAAAGGCTTGTCAAGTTGGAAAATATTGGAATCTTATTGTTTTATTGCTCCTTTAGATACTGGGAACAAGGGTACCATGTTCTGATTCTCTGGTTAGGTTTTCCATTTAACAAGATTTATACTTCTTTTCGTGATTGTAGAAATGGACAGACGGTGTGGTCAAGGCTTTAAGGGATGTTGTGAACAGTCCATACTCACCTGAGTATGATGTATCTGGGATTACAGATCCTTTTCTCCACATCAGGTTGCTGAAGTTTTTGCAGACTTTGGGCCAAGGAGATGCAGATTCTAGTGATTGCATGAATGATATACTTGCTCAGGTCAGCTTCTTTTTCTGATTTATTTCCGGGTATTGTTTAAACATGTGAATCGTGATGTTGGCTATCTTCTGTTTTCTAGTTATTTTACTTTCTAATAAAATATCATTTCAAACTGAAATGGCATTTTACTTTTGTTTCCTATTCAGTCATTGAAATCTATGATGCTTTTCACCATTTTTTACTCCTCTAGCTTCTTATTTCTCTTCTTATTATCCTACTTTTATTATAACCTAAAAATACATGCAACTGAGCTATGCTTCATCTTCTGAATTTTTTGTAATGCACAAAAGTTGATGTTTGGTGACTTTGTTAGCTTTCTGTGTCTATATCATACAACAGAAAACATGATGTTGTTTGTCTTTCTTCAGGAACAAAAACAAGAGAAAGGTTTAGTAATATCACTTCTTGCTAAAATAAATGAGGAGAACAAAACAAAAACAATGTTTGGATATAAAATTAAAACCAGAATTGCTGTGGGTGTGGCAGTAGTTGTTATTAGAAATATGATCAGTGGTGGTGGGAGAGGTAAATCCGGTGACTATTATAGATTTGTATTGTTGGGGTCATAGTGGTGAGAATGGATGGTGAGGGTTGTTGGCAATGGTACTGCTGAGGATTTCAGTGTCTAGTTGGGGAAGGAAGGATCAGCAGTGGTGGTGGTGAGAAAGAAGTGGCAGTTGTTGGAGGTACAGTATGCAGAATGGTGTCCATGCGGCCGTGGTGGTTGATTGCATTACTATGATTGCTTCTAGGTCTTGCATACATCTTCTATGCTCAATGTGGTTTATGGCTATCCTATTTACCTGGATCAACAGTAAGATTGCTCCTTTATGATGAGCAAAGACAAAATTTCTGCAACCCTCACAAAGCAGAGAGCCTTTTGGTTGGGGGATACCTTTTTTTTTTTTTGTCCCTTTTTTTCTATTGGGAGGGCCAAGGAACTGTGGAGTGATGGAGGTAGGAGTTGAACCGCATTGCCTCTTTGTGGCTTCTGTTTTCTATTATCTACACTTTTTGCCTTTGAAAGAATCTATCATGCATATTCAGAAAGAAAAACTTTTTTCCTCTCAAAGTTCCTCTAAAATGCTGCACAGTCTTGCATGCACACGGTTTTTGTGCTCCATGTGATGATGAATACTTTTCTAATGATATGTTGATGCATTCTTGAGCCGTTAGTCTAGTATCATTTACATTGTTTCTTGTGCCAGTGTAACAAAAAATTATACAGAATCCAATGATACTAATTACACATTGTGCTTCCAGGTTGCATCAAAAACTGAGTCAAAGAAAAATGTTGGGAATGCTATTCTCTATGAATGTGTTAGAACTATTATGAGCATTGAAGACAATGGTGGCTTACGGGTGCTTGCTATCAATATCTTGGGGAGATTTCTCTCAAATCGTGACAACAATATCAGGTTATCTAGCTTTCATTTTGCATTTGTCCCATTTTATTTGACTACTGGTTCTTGTTGTTGTTACGTGGTCATATATAAACATAGAATTCATGTTCACTGTTGCAGTACATTTTGTGCTAATGGAAACAGGTGCTTATTAAAGATTGGTTAGATTAATAATAAATTTCTTCAATTTCAATTTATTTTGGGCATTTGTTGATTGTAGAAGCTTGATTTAACATGTAAAGTTTGTGATCTGAGCTTCAAACAACTGTATGTAGAACAAAATCATCTGAAGCTCAGACATGAACTATCAAAGTTGCAACTTCAGATATTAGGACATGATGGAACATGACTAGAGGATTTAAATTTATAATATTTATTTTAAGTATTTTATAGCTGTGAAACTGGAAATCACAAAAAATTATTCTATATATTATTAGATACATGAGTGTTTCTTTGTGTTTCATTATGTGTCTCTATGCATGGACTTGTGCTGAAGTAAAAAAGAAAAAAAGGAAAATAGAAGAAAAATTAGATATGCTACGTGATGTGTCTGAGAAATGGCTTTGTGTGAGCATGGAGTGTCAGATAAGATTAATCGGGGCCACGAAATAAAGTATCCGACCATCCTGTAAAAGGTTGAGTAAAATTAGCATCCTCTAATTATTTGAAATGCCACTAGATACAAGGTAATGTCTATACAATGGATGAAATCCTTAGCTTTTGGCTTAGTTAGCTGAAGTGAGAATTTATATGATTACCAGAGTGTAATAATTATAGGTATGAACCTTGCATGCCTTGGCAAGTAACACATAATGGGGAATTTCATGAATTGATATTAATGCCTTTATATTATCTGTGTTTTCTTGTCACGACCCAAAATCGGGTCCGTGATCGGCACTAGGGTCCACCAACCCTAGTAAGCCTCACAACCAAACATACCAAAACTATACCAATTCCATCAGAATATAAAATACATAACCATCCACTCATACAAGCCAAAACCTTGTCTGAGGAAAATAAATGAGCAATCTAGAGTACAAAATGAAAACAACATGAAACATGCTCGTACATCTATCGAATTGGCAGGGATTGGCCTTGGCACCAAACTCTAGCTAGAAAACGGAAAATCAACCTGATCTAGAAAGATAATAAAGAGTGAGTCGCTAAACTCAGTGAGCAACAAATGGTACCTATTTTGGCCATGCTGGAATATCACCGCACATATAAAAAACATACATATATATACATAGTGAGCAGTTCAAGTACGTTAAAGCATAAATGTGGGATTAGCATCATATACAGTCATCATATCTCATAGCATAACGTATTATGCTGAGGCACCATAGCCTCGCACTGGACTCAGGGCACTCACCATTGGACGCTATAGATCACTGTCCTCCAATACAAGCCCCTGACATCCCAATCTCATCGTGATAGTGCACTTCATACCCGAGGCACTACAGTCTCATAATAGGCTCAGGGCACTCGCTGTTGGACACTACGTATCACCGTCCTCCAGTGTAAGCTGCTAACGTCCCAATCTCACCACACAATACAACTCCCCACATATTTACAGATAACATTTCATATATACACATATATAGTTCATATATTAACATATGAATGTCAAAATATATGATATCAAAGGTTCACTGTCATTTCAAAACATATCAATGCATGTCTTAGAGATTTCGCATATATCAAAATACAATATGCATCAAAACCAACATTCATGCTATAAATCACAGTTAGGAAACACTTGTATAGAAAAGTATCATCACTCACAGTACAAGGCTGAGTCAGAAACCTGAGTTACCCACAACGACTCAATGATCACTCAGCGTCTTCGCTGGTGTATCTATAATCACAATAGCACACAATCAAGACCAACACTTGAATCAACACAAGAAAGGACTTAGCTGCCCAAAACTGGGCTCTAAATCCACTCGGGAACCCTTGCACGCATCCCAAGGCTCATTTCCCATCACCTAGAACCCACATCCATTTCTCTTAAAAACTCTTAAACCATGATGAACCAGTCTCCAAAACCCTTGAACTGGCCTTAAACTTTCTTAAACGGCTTGAACCGGCCATGAACACCTCAGAACCAACCTGAATCGGTCTCAAATATCCCAGAACTGGACTGAATTGGCCTTCAAACTCTTAAGCTAAGCTAAACCACCATTTGCACACAAAACCGGCTTAAATAGTACTAAACCGGCCGGTTTTTTGATGAACCAAACTTCCTAGAGTTGTGAACCGGTCTAATCTTCCTAGAACCGGTCAAAGTTCCCACTGAACTGGCCCTAGAACTATTTTTGTCCTTAATCAGGAACCCTAGATACCTTATCCCAACCTTGGTTATCGTATTCCAATTTCATTATATTCTACCTCTGGGATAGCATATCCCAAAATCCATCTGTTGAGTTGACTCGCTAAGTCAACTCACTAATTTTGGCCATTGGGCCAAGTCAACCTATCGAGTTGACTTGCCTAGAACTCGGCCCAACCCAAACCGACCAAGCCCAAGCCCAACTCACTAGCCTAGCCCACTCGGCCCAGCCCAACCGACCAAGCCCAAGCCCAACTCACTAGCCCAGCCCACTCGGCCCAGCCTAACCGACCAAGCCCAAGCCCAACTCACTAGCCCAGCCCACTCGGCCCAGCCCAACCAAACCTAGCTCGGCTGCGTTGACTTGGTGAGCCAAGCCAACTCAGCATGGACCTAGATACCATCCAAGTCCATCTTCCTCACTGACAACCCGGCTCCCAACCCAGTTGCGGATTCATAGTACCCGAACCAAAAAAACCAAAATTACAAGATTTAAGGGCATACCTCGATCAATCAATGGCCAAGGCTTGTAGATATGAGCTAGGTGAACCAATCTACAGCTCTTAATCAAAGCAAAATTGATCAGAATAGCATCAAAAACCCAAAAAATCCACTTTGGGCACCGCGGACCAGTCAGCCGAAACAAGGCAAATTTCTCTCAAATTTTCACTCCAAACTTGAAATTTGTTGAAGGAAAACTTTCCTTGGCTTGCGTCGCACACAAATACCAACTTTTAAGCCAAAAAATAGCCGCCATAATCACGGTATGGCCTCCATAGTGTTCGGTCCATTGTTGGACAGAACTTGCAAGTTTTGTTCTCAATCTAGTCCCTCATTCTTAAATTTCTTTCAATTTTACCCCTTCGAAATTTAGATTAAGTCCTTGCCTCTTTTATTTCCTTCAATTTGACCCTCGACAGTTTCAATTTAACCCCAATCTTCCTGATTTCTCAAATTAGCCCCCCTAGCTTATAACTTCTTCAATTTCCCCCTTCCAGAATTACGATTTGACCCCAACTTCTTTTAATTTGAGCAATTAAGCCCTTAAACTTAATTATTAACCTAAATTAATTTTTTTTTAATAATTTAGGATCATTACATTTCTATGGACTCTTGGGAGCAAAGGTTACTTTGTATGGTTCTTTATGCATGGTCTTCAAATTGTTTTGATCTCTGTTTTGCTGTTGCAAAATATATTGTTATTTGATATAATCTGCATGTGCCTAGTGCCACTATGTTTTGTTCTGATATTCCATCCTAGATGCTTTACATGAAATCTGATGCAGTTGTTGTTCACATTTCCCATCAGATATGTTGCTTTGAACATGCTGATGAGAGCTATCAGCATCGATTCACAAGCAGTGCAGAGGCATCGGGCTACAATCTTGGAATGTGTAAAGGTACTTATGGGATGTTTTGGTTTCTATTTATGTTGTTTAATACTCAAAACGTATATGTTTTTGGTCTAGAGAGTTGGAACAGTTCAAATATCAGCCCCCCCCAACATCGTTTTTTTTTTTTTTTGGGGGGGGGGGGGGCGTGGTTGGTGGTGTATTGGAAGGAAAAATAGTCCTTACTTGTATGTTACTTTCTTGGTATTTATGGGATGTTGTTTTTAATCAAACATCACATGATTCTTTTGTGTTTGTTTAGTGCGTTGAGTGGGAGCATGAATAGCTCACATGAGTAGATTGGAACTTCTTCCTTCATTAGCATGGTAGGTTGAATCCTCAATAATTTGCATGACCTTGGATTGGCTGTTCTCTATTTTATTTTGAATGAGTTCATTTTTTCCCATAAAACTTGTTTTATTTATTGTAAAATTGAAAGTGGAAAGTCTTGAATCATTTGGTGATGAACTAAATAATACATTTCTAAAATTTGTTTTTCTAGATTCCTTGACTACCTGATCTTGCTAATTGGGAGTGACACCATTTGCACTCTATTGAATACTTACTATGCATATGTCCTTCCCCCTAGAGTTTTGATCTTCAAAGATTAATTTTGGGTTGTATGGTTCTATTCTTGTTTAGGCTGGATGTACTCCATATGTTGCCAGTTATGGACCTGATTCTTTAGACAATTGTTGCTGTACCTCTATTACTACATTAGCAAATTTGTGAGAATCTTGTACACTGGATAAAGTTGAAACCACATATCCATGCCACTGACATCACCGTTATTTGTAAATTTCTCATGCCTTGGATTTTTCTCATGGTATTATTGGAAATGAAGTTGGTTACTTTTTTTTTTCTTTATTCTTTTTGATTGTTATGAGTATTAAGGTTGTTAGAACTATTAGATAAAGGATATTTGGTCTTTGTTCACTTCATTCTTCTAATATAAATATATGAGGCTATCCCTGGTTGTGTAGCTTTCTGGTTTTATACTATCACTTGTTATCTTCTTCTTTTCTTTTCTTTTTTCCCATCACTTTCTCATAACACGGTATTAGAGTAAGCAAAAAGTTCCATGTTTAGTCTCACCACTTACCAATTTAAAGTTTCCATGGGTTGGAATAGTTATGAGTGCAAAATGTGGCCACATGTTATAGGGTGTGTTATGTGTTTAGTTAAGTTACCCTCTCTCTACAAGTTGGATCTTCTAGATGAGATGGTGGTCAAAATTTTCACATGGTATTGGAGCCAAAAGGTATGATGTTTGAGTCTTGCTACCTATTAGTTTGAAGTTTTCTATATTGACCTAGTTATGAGTAACACGTAATTAAGTTACCACTATCTATAAGGTTAAGTTTTTAGATGAGATGTTGATTAATAGTGGCTCAAAGCGTGGAACCCTAGCCAAGTCATCCTAAACCTAGCTTATACCAAAAATATAATAGGTAGTTACTGCTCTTTAGAAGCTTAAGCTTTCAAATGAGGTGGTGGTTAATGGTTTAACATAGCTTAAAGCATGCAACCCTAACTAGGCAATCCCAAACCCTAGCTTATGACAGAACAAAAATGTAATTACGAACAATGTCGCTACAGTAGCTTTTGAAAAATGTTGCTGTATTGTTTGTGGACAGTACAACTACATTATTTCTTGAGTATGCTTCTACAGTGGCTCTATGAACAACAATGAACAGTGCACCCATGATATGGGGAAAAATTGGACATTTGTCGTCTGGATTTTTTATGTCTTCAATTGTGTGCCTGTTTGCGTGAACTATTTTTTAGTAGTTTTTAGCTTTTAACTATTTTTTAGCAGTTTTGTTTGTTTGTGTTGCTACTTCTCACTCTACTTTTCTCTAAATTTTAGCTAAAAATAGCTCGAAGCAAAAGTACCTAAACTATGCTTCTTGTAACTAGTGACATAATTGTAAATAATTAAAATTTTTGTTAGACAAATATATCTTATTATAATCTTATTTTACTCTTAGCCAAATCAACAAAAATATTATTATACGTTATCTATTTTAATTAAATCAAAAATTAAATGAGAATTTAAGAATGAGTAAAAGTTATATTTTTAATTTGAAAGCAAAATTATATTAAAAAGGAGAATGTTAAGAATTAGATTTTAAAAATTATTAAAAACTTATATAAAGGTAATTATATAAATTATTAGAAAATATTAATAACTTATATAAATTATTAATAATTTATTTATTTTTTAATCTTAAAACTTTAAATTTTTATTTACAACCCAAGAAAATTTATTTTATGGCCATATATATCAACTTTTTAAAAGAATGGGTAATTTAGGCATTTTAACATAATAAGCAATTACTACTTTAGAAGCAGTGGCTTGTGCAAACAGGCCTTGTGTTTACTTTGTTGATGAAGAAATGTAGTAAGAATGGACAATCAAGAGCAGAGTTTTTATGCAAGACTTTACAGTAAGGGCATCTAGGTTTTTCCTATTCTTGCTTCATTGCGTTACTTACAAATCAATGGAGGAAGATCAAGAAAGGAATTTGGATGTAAGATTTCAGAGCATTTGGATTTTCCTGTCTTGCTTCATTGCATTTTTGCTGTTGATGAATTGATGAAGGAAGATCAAAATAGAAGTCTTTGTGCAGATACGCAGGAAGAGCCCTCCTCTTGTGCATGGTTTGCATGTTGCATGATCCCCCTAAAAATGTGATTTTGTTTTTACATTTTGTGATGACCAATTGATTGGTGTGGCCTCATCTCATCCTTTGATTTATTAGCAGACTGGTGTGGCTTAAATCTGTAGAGAGGACAGGACCTCTCCAGTTGATTTCAAACAAAATGTGATTTTTCTTTTTTGGTAATGCTCAATGGATTGATGTGGCCTCATCTCATCCTTTGATTTATTAGTAGACTGGTGTGGCTTAAATCTGCAGAGAGGACAGAACCTCTCCAGTTCCTGTGAGAACTGGAGAGTATCCTGATCAGAGGGAGAAAATAATTAATCTAGATTGAGATAATAGAGGAAGAGATGCTACATCGTGGTTTAATTGCAATTGTAACTTTTGATATAGCAGAGATGCAAACAAGATTCAAGTTGGTTGCCTCTCATTTAACAAACCAAAATTGTAAATTATGATTTTGAACAATGTTCACTGTGGAGTTATGGCCATAAATATATTTGATGCATTTATCTTGTCTTTTTCTGGTATACTATTTTTAAGTTGAAGGATACCTTATGACAAACAAATCAACAAGCTTATGCCTGGATTATTGATTTTCAGGATTTAGATCCTTCTATTCGTAAAAGGGCTCTTGAACTTGTATATCTTCTTGTAAATGAAACCAATGCAAAATCTTTGACAAAAGAGCTCATCGGATATCTGAGAGTAAGTGATCAGGAGTTCAAAGGAGATCTTACTGCTAAAATTTTCTCCATTGTTGAAAAGTAAGTAAAATGTCTATTTCATTGCAAGCAAAAGCATTGCAATATGATTGGCTGAAAAAGAAAAATTATTTGATAATATTTATACTTACCTTTTAACTCATGTTTAAAGTTTAACTCGTTTCCATTTTCTGCTATAGGTTTGCTACTGAAAAAATTTGGTATATTGATCAGATGCTAATGGTTCTTTCTGAGGTATGCATGAAAGCCTGTTTGTCCTATATGTTGATTTAAGCTGTATGTTTGGGAGCCATCTTTACACTTCCTTCTATTTATTTTTTGCTATTTGATCACCTCCTTACTGGCACAGGATCTAGTTGGGAAGGATTGTGTTGACACTTATTATATATAATCTGAGATGAGTAAAATCGTTGTGTTCATAAAAAAAGTGGGGTTGTATTGTTGTTTTTCCAATATATTCTCATTCTTCAGTCATTAAAGGTCTAATTATGCCAGTAGCTTTATGAAATACTGCTGGAATTTTTAGCAAAGACAGCATCTATTTATTATTTTGATGGTGTTCTCTTGCTGTGATTGAGGAAATTGTAGATTTAATAGTTTAAGGAGACACTGATTTGCTAGTATATGATGATGTCTACAATTGCTAATGATCATCTTAGCCGGAACTGTATGTGTCATTTTCCAGTTTTTTTTGTTTGTTTCTCTATCTTTGTTCACATTGTACCTGCAGATATATAGCTTGATCGCATTTGTCACTTTCCTATATGATGACAAGTCACCAGTTGCCGTGAAAAAGTGTCCCCATGAAATTCCTCTTCTACAAAGCAAAAAAAATTAAAGTCTTCCTTTATTTTTCATCCATGTAAATAACAATTGCTAAGTGTATGAAAAATTACTAACCATTATATTGCTTAGTAGGCAGGAAACTTTGTGAAGGATGACGTATGGCATTCCCTTATTGTGGTGATAAGCAATGCATCTGACTTACATGGATATACAGTACGGTCTCTATATAGAGCAATCCAAACATCAGCTGAACAGGTATTCACAAACCTTTTCTTTTCCATTATAAGAGTTTGGTATGCAATTTCGATAAGAGTAAATAAGTGGGAACTTATTTTGGTATCTTATCAGGAAAGTCTTGTTCAAGTGGCGGTTTGGTGCATAGGAGAATATGGTGAAATGCTGGTTGATAATGTTGGAATGCTTGATATAGAGGAACCAAGAACCGTAAGTTTGCTTTGCAAAATTTTCATGATTTAGATCTTGAAATGGTTCTTGAATAATTTAAGATTAAATGCTCTATAACTATTTGGCAACACAAATGCTCTGCTCGAAGTTCAACATTATAATTTTCTGTGGTACATTACTTAGAGTTTGATTAGAATTTCTCGATGACTAAGAAGTTGAATTAATATGGTCTAAGATGTTTTATATGATTGGACAATTCAGAGAAGGTTTCAGTAACTGATTAGCATGTTTCATAAAAACTCTCCTCCCTCTCAATCCCTGAGTCATGGGGCTCCTTGCTTTGAGAGGGTTGTGGGAGGGTGGTAGAATGTAAGCAGTCTCACTGGTGCATTTGTAGAAGCTGTTTCTTGTGGCATTCTGCTCACAATGGACCAACTTGCCCTTCATCCGAGGATTGGTTTCTTTTGCTTAGTTATGTCTGATGATGCCAAGTAAATAAAAATCATTGCCTTGTTGATCAGAGACAAAATATAGCATAATCAACATACAAATGTGATGGCTACTAAAATAATTTGTTAATCCTTTGGATTTATGAACCAAAATTCAGTTGAGGTCTTTCACAGAATTGAGATGTATGTACTTAGAATATGTGGTACAATTTACTCTGCAATGTTGTTCAATTCCGATCTTTTTTCCTTGTATTTGTTGATCGTACTTAAGATCTAGTTGATGATTGGAAAAGAAAAAGAACATCTTAACCTTTGGTTATTTGTGTCTTCCCATAACAACTTATTTCTTTTGGTCTTCAATTTCTTTTTGGACTTCCACTTTCATATTTCACTTTAGAATTTTAGACGTGAATTTTTGTTGATCTCTACTTAAAGGACCAATTAGATAGACTAATCTTAGGCAAGATGCAAATGTTAGTATGTCCATCTTGTAGGATTACGAACATTTTAAAAGGTTTCCTTGCTTAATATATCTTGAAGGCTTGAAGCTATGCAACCTGCTCTTTTGCATTATGAATGATTATACCTTTCATCTTGTTGCGGCAAAAGCAAATAATCCGAGAATAATCACACCAAAATGAACATGTCGTACATCAGTCAATGTTTTAACTGTACTGCTGTAGCTTAAGTCGAATTGTCCCTATATATGCAATCTTGCTGGGTGCAACATTAGCCATTGTTTTTTCCTATATCAACACACTGATTTGCGGAGAAAACATCCTGCTTGGGACACACATGATAAGAACAAGAATCAAAAACCAACCATTACTTGTAGTAACTAATAGAACTGAATTAGCCTCTAAGCTGTTATCCTGCAACCCTACGTGTCAATAAGGCATACATCTTTATTTTCTGTAAATTAAAACTGGTGTGTTTTGGATAATTTCTCAATGTCATGTTTTGCAAACCTCCAAATACACCTACAATTCATAAATATTCTACTGGAATAATAAAAATAATAGAAAATTGAGCCTGAAACTGAGGTCTGGATCTGAAAAATCAAGTCTGGAATTGCAAATATATCTGGAAATGAGCTGGACTGGCCCTGAAGTGAAACAAACCAGAATCTGAACTGGACCGTTTTTGGGCTGAACCAGATCTAAACTAAACCTGACTGGGTTAATTGAATCTAGGCTGGACTACAATGGACCAGTTCAAACTTATAATGAGCTGGGAAGAGAAAAACTTGTAATGAGGTAGGAAAGAGAGAGAGAAAGAGAGAGAGAAAGAGAAAAAAAAATAAAAAAAAAGAAGGAAAAAGAGATCTTGCTAGAGCTGTAATCTGATTAGGTCCAGCAAACACACACATATATATAGGCAAATCGTATATACAAAAGGAGGAACATGAAAGTCCAAAAATACCCTTAAGTCATAATACTTCCCATCAACTTGGAGTATAGGAATTAGTTAAGTCCAGCTTGTTACAAGTATACTCTATCCTACTTTCTTGAATGCCCTTGGCAAAAAATATCCGCTAGTTGTTCTCCAATCCAATTGAACTTGGTGAAAATGGGTTGTTGTTGAATCTTTTTTAGGGATAAAATAACAATCCACCTCTATATGTTTAGTCCTCCTATGAAATACTGAACCAATATGTATAGTAGCGTCATTATCACACCAAACTTGCATGGCATGTGATTGCTCCAGGCCCAACTCATGAAGTAGAAGATGTACCCACAAGTTCACACATGAGCTGAGCTATAGCATGGTATTCAGAGTCTACACTCTGACTAAGCCACAACATATTCACTTTTTATTCCTCAAAGAGACTAAATTCCTCTCACAAACACACAATACCCTGGAATTTACCAGGAAACAACTTGAAATACTGCCTAATCTGCATCAATGAACTCCTCTAGTCCTTGGTGACCATGATCTCCATATATTATGCCCTGTCCAGGGGCTCCCTCGAGGTACTGTAAAATATGTAACACAACATCCCAGTGCAATGTCCTTCGGGAGGATGTTAACTAACTAATCACACATTAAAAATGCAATGTTATCATAGGTTGTAGTCCGATCCTCAAGTCATCTGAGTCTTTCTTCTGAAATTTGGCCTGAAGAAATGTCTGTCGATAAAAAATGTGCAATATTCTCTTGGAAACGTGTTTAGGGATCAGAAATATGAGAAGAAAAGACTACATATTATTAAAGGCCGTGACTGAAATAAACTTTTTTTAGAATCTATGACTCTGTAAATTTGCTCCCATTAGCAGATTCCAGAGCATATGGACTACCACATTGCATTTCTTATTTTCAATTATAGATTTTATGGGTGATATTCAGCATGATAGTGCTTTTTTCTTTTGTTTCTTGGGTATCATAAGCTTGAACCTCAGAACCAACCTCTTTTCATATATGGGGTATGCTCCATATGTCTGACTCTCAAGTATTGTATTGTAGTCTGAGGAGTCTTGTACAATAGGTGACAGTTCTCTGTTGGAGTTTCACAATTAACTGACTACAGCTGACTGCTTTTCATTTATTTTAGGCATGAGTTTTGTTTTGTTTACTGAGACACTGATTGGCGTTTAAGCATAATGGACAATTGAGTACTATAAAATGAACACATATGTATATGTGACAATCTGGACATTTTACATTACTGCTGCCATGTCATTGTGTTCATAAATTGGAATACTGGCTGGGAGAGCGTGACGAATGGACAAAGTTTCATCTAAAACTTTGTTCCTAGTTACTACATGCTGTCTGCTTTTTTTTTCTTTTCTTTTTCAATTCATTTCCTATTCTTCCCTTCTCAATTTTGGGTTTCTTTTTTTGTTGAAGGAAGCTGGGTCTATCTTAATCAACCTTGTAACTCTAACACTGTTGAAAATGTAAAAGAAGGAAAATTTGAAATGTTCGAGATAATATGGCTTATGCTGCTTATGTAACTTGGCATACCAAGCTAATTTTCTATTTCACTTTCGCATGCTGGTTTATTGAGAAGTAACCCTCTCTAGGTGGGATTGTTAATGTAGATAGTTTAGGTTGATGCAACTTGTTGACTTTTACCTAATTGTGATGCAAAAAATATATTAGAGCTTTTATAAAGAATAGGTCCTTCTGATTCTTTTACAAATAATGGGAGCTTTTCTGTCATCTTCTTTTGTATCCCCAATATATTTGTTTATGGTTAGTGTTGGTGATGAAGCAGATGTTAAGGCCTCATATTCAGTGTTTGTCTTCCTTGCAGTTATTGTTTGCACCATGTATCCTACATTGCATGCTATTTTTTGTTCCTATCTGTTTCCTTTTTTATGATGATTTGTTATTTCATTTAAATCTTATGCCTCGTTCACCAATTCTCTGGTTATTTGATGGAATGGAAGACTTGAAATAAGGATTAGTGGAAATTGCATGAGGATTAAGTCCTTAACAGACAAGTGTGTGTGTGTGTGTGTGTATATCCAGTTTAAAGAACTACATAAAAAAGGTAATAAATCAAATCTCTAGTTATAAGAAAGAAATCAACTAGCCTAAGTTTGAAAATATTATCTACATGATCCCTAATTATAGAAATGGAATATCACACAATCTCAATCCTTCCCATCAAGATGGAGTATATAAGTCATATGCATTAATCTTCCCACAAATATAGTGACTTCTTGAACTTCAAAGAGACTTTGTTAAGATATGAGCTAATTGATCACTTGAATTGACAAACTTAGTAACGATTTCCTTTTAAAACATTTTTTCTTGGACAAAATGACGATAAATATTTATATGTTTAGTCCTATTATGAAAAACAGAATTTGAAGTTATGTGTAAGGTAGTTTGATTACCACAATACAGCTTTATCTATTTAACACTTTCAAACTTCTATTCTTGAAGCAACTGTTTTAACCATATTAGTTTGCAAGTAGCTACTACTATAGATCGATATTCAGCTTCTGCACTAGATTCTGTAACTGTATTCTACTACTTGTTTTTCCAAGATACAAAATTACTGTCAAGTAATATACAATATCTTGAAGTAGACCATTGATCAACAGGTGAATCAGCTTAGTTTGCATTAGAATACCTTACAATTTGAGTATTTTCTTTGTCTTCATACAACAACCCTTGTTCCTCAAAATTCGAACAACCACATTCCAAAGATCACTTTCTCTGGATTGCATAAACTAATTTTCTACACTTGCTAGAAAGGACATATCAGGTTTAGTCATAGTGAGACAATTTACTTTCCCAACAAGCCTCTGGTACTTGTCCGGACTTGGATAAGGCTATCCTTGATCTGATAATAATTTGATATTTAAATTCACAAGACTATCAACAGGTTTATACAGTTCTACATACCAATCTCCTCTAATATATCTAAAGCATGCTTCTTTTGTGAAATAGCAATAGCACTCCTAGATTGATTCACTTAAATACCGATAAATATATAAGTCTCCACAAGTCCTTAGTCTAAAAGTAATTAAATAGATGTTCCTTTATCTAAGTTATTTTCTCATGATCATAACTAATAATGATTGTATCATCCACATAAACTATTACATAAACACACTGATCAAATGAAGAATGTGGGTGGTTAGCTTTATTCTGTGTCATACCAAAGGC